CACGTCCACGTCCACGTTCATTTCCACGTCCACGTCCACGTCCACGTCCACGTCCACGCATTTCCACGTCCACGTCCACGTCCACGTCCACGTCCACGTCCATGTCCACGTCCATGTCCACGTCCACGTCCACGTCCACGTCCACGTCCACGTCCACGTCCACGTCCACGTCATGTCCACGTCCACGTCCACGTCCACGTCACGTCCACGTCCATGTCCACGTCCATGTCCATGTCCACGTCCACGTCCACGTCCACGTCCATTTCCACGTCCACGTCCACGTCCACGTCCACGTCCACGTCCATGTCCATGTCCACGTCCACGTCCACGTCCATTTCACGTCCACGTCCACGTCCACGTCCACGTCCATGTCCACGTCCACGTCCACGTCCACGTCCACGTCCATGTCCACGTCCACGTCCACGTCCACGTCCACGTCCACGTCCACGTCCACGTCCACGTCCACGTCCACGTCCATGTCCACGTCCATGTCCACGTCCATGTCCACGTCCACGTCACGTCCACGTCCACGTCCACGTCCACGTCCACGTCCACGTCCACGTCCACGTCCATGTCCACGTCCACGTCCACGTCCACGTCCACGTCCACGTCCACGTCCATTTCCACGTCCACGTCCACGTCCATTTCCACGTCCACGTCCACGTCCACGTCCATGTCCACGTCCACGTCCATGTCCACGTCCACGTCCATGTCCACGTCCATGTCCACGTCCATGTCCACGTCCACGTCCACGTCCATGTCCACGTCCACGTCCACGTCCACGTCCATTTACGTCCACGTCCATGTCCACGTCCACGTCCATGTCCACGTCCACGTCCACGTCCATTTCCACGTCCACGTCCACGTCCACGTCCACGTCCACGTCACGTCCACGTCCACGTCCACGTCCATGTCCACGTCCACGTCCATTTCCACGTCCACGTCCATGTCCACGTCCACGTCCACGTCCATGTCCACGTCCACGTCCACGTCCATGTCCACGTCCACGTCGTCCACGTCCACGTCCACGTCCATGTCTACGTCCACGTCCACGTCCATGTCCACGTCCACGTCCACGTCCATGTCCACGTCCACGTCCACGTCCACGTCCACGTCCACGTCCATTTCCACGTCCATGTCCACGTCCATGTCCACGTCCACGTCACGTCCACGTCCACGTCCAGTCCACGTCCATGTCCACGTCCACGTCCACGTCCATGTCACGTCCATGTCCATTTCTACGTCCACGTCCACGTCCACGTCCACGTCCACGTCCATGTCCACGTCCACGTCCACGTCCAGTCCACGTCCACGTCCACGTCCACGTCCACGTCCACGTCCACGTCCACGTCCACGTCCACGTCCATGTCCACGTCCACGTCCACGTCCATGTCCACGTCCACGTCCATGTCCACGTCCACGTCCACGTCCATGTCCACGTCCACGTCCACGTCCATGTCTACGTCATGTCCATGTCCACGTCCACGTCCACGTCCACGTCCACGTCCACGTCCACGTCCACGTCCACGTCCACGTCCATGTCCACGTCCACGTCCACGTCCACGTCCATGTCCACGTCCACGTCCAGTCCACGTCCAGTCCACGTCCACGTCACTCCTCACGTCCACGTCCATGTCCACGTCCATGTCCACGTCCATGTCCACGTCCACGTCCACGTCCACGTCCACGTCCACGTCCACGTCCACGTCCATGTCCACGTCCACGTCCACGTCCATTCCACGTCCACGTCCATGTCCACGTCCACGTCCACGTCCATGTCCACGTCCACGTCCAGTCCACGTCCACGTCCACGTCCACGTCCACGTCCACGTCCACGTCCACGTCCACGTCCACGTCACGTCCACGTCCACGTCCACGTCCACGTCCACGTCCACGTCCACGTCATGACACCACGTCCACGTCCATGTCCACGTCCACGTCCACGTCCACGTCCACGTTCATGCACGTCCACGTCCACGTCCACGTCCACGTCCACGTCCATGTCCATGTCCACGTCCATGTCCACGTCCACGTCCACGTCCACGTCCACGTCCATGTCCACGTCCACGTCCACGTCCACGTCCACGTCCACGTCCATGTCCACGTCCACGTCCACGTCCACGTCCACGTCTACGTCCACGTCCACGTCCACGTCCACGTCCACGTCCACGTCCACGTCCACGTCCACGTCCACGTCCACGTCCACGTCCACGTCCACGTCCATGTCCACGTCCACGTCCATGTCCACGTCCACGTCCACGTCCACGTCCCGTCCACGTCCACGTCCACGTCCAGTCCACGTCCATGTCCACGTCACGTCCACGTCCACGTCCACGTCCACGTCCATTCCACGTCCACGTCCACGTCCACGTCCACGTCCACGTCCACGTCCACGTCCATGTCCATGTCCACGTCCACGTCCACGTCCACGTCCACGTCACCACGTCCACGTCCACGTCCATGTCCACGTCCACGTCCACGTCCACGTCCATGTCCACGTCCACGTCCACGTCCACGTCCACGTCCACGTCCACGTCCACGTCCACGTCCACGTCCACGTCCACGTCCACGTCCACGTCCACCTAAACGTCCACGTCCACGTCCACGTCCACGTCCACGTCCAGTCCACGTCCACGTCCACGTCCACGTCCACGTCCATGTCCACGTCCACGTCCATGTCCACGTCCACGTCCACGTCCACGTCCACTCCACGTCCACTCCATGTCCACGTCCATGTCCACGTCCATGTCCACGTCCACGTCCACGTCCACGTCCACGTCCACGTCCACGTCCACGTCCATGTCCATGTCCACGTCCACGTCCACGTCCACGTCCACGTCCATGTCCACGTCCACGTCCACGTCCACGTCCATGTCCACGTCCACGTCCACGTCCACGTCCAGTCCACGTCCACGTCCACGTCCACGTCCACGTCCACGTCCACGTCCACGTCCATGTCCACGTCACGTCCACGTCCACGTCCACGTCCTCCCACGTCCACGTCCACGTCCACGTCCACGTCCAGTCCACGTCCACGTCCACGTCCATGTCCACGTCCACGTCCACGTCCATGTCCACGTCCACGTCCATGTCCACGTCCACGTCCACGTCCACGTCCATGTCCACGTCCACGTCCACGTCCACGTCCACGCACGTCCACGTCCATGTCCACGTCCACGTCCATGTCCACGTCCACGTCCACGTCCGTCCAGTCCACGTCCACGTCCACGTCCACGTCCACGTCCATGTCACGTCCACGTCCATGTCCACGTCCACGTCCACGTCCACGTCCACGTCCACGTCCACGTCCATGTCCACGTCCACGTCCACGTCCACGTCACGTCCACGTCCACGTCCACGTCCACGTCCACGTCCACGTCCACGTCCACGTCCATGTCCATGTCCACGTCCACGTCCACGTCCATGTTCATTTCCACGTCCACGTCCACGTCCACGTCCACGTCCATGTCCACGTCCACGTCCACGTCCATGTCCACGTCCAGTCCACGTCCACGTCCACGTCCATTCCATGTCCACGTCCACGTCCACGTCCACGTCCACGTCCATGTCCACGTCCACGTCCACGTCCACGTCCACGTCCACGTCCATGTCCACGTCCACGTCCATGTCCACGTCCACGTCCATGTCCACGTCCATGTCCACGTCCATGTCCACGTCCACGTCCACGTCCACGTCCACGTCCACGTCCACGTCCACGTCCACGTCCACGTCCACGTCCATGTCCACGTCCACGTCCATGTCCACGTCCACGTCCACGTCCACGTCCATTCCACGTCCACGTCCACGTCCATTCCACGTCCACGTCCACGTCCCACGTCCACGTCCACGTCCACGTCCATGTCCACGTCCCGTCCATGTCCACGTCCATGTCCACGTCACAGTCCACGTCCACGTCCACGTCCATGTCCACGTCCACGTCCACGTCCACGTCCACGTCCACGTCCACGTCCACGTCCACGTCCACGTCCACGTCCATTCCACGTCCACGTCCACGTCCACGTCCACGTCCACGTCCACGTCCACGTCCATGTCCACGTCCACGTCCATGTCCACGTCCACGTCCACGTCCACGTCCACGTCCACGTCCACGTCCACGTCCATGTCCACGTCCATGTCCACGTCCATGTCCACGTCCACGTCCACGTCCACGTCCACGTCCACGTCCACGTCCATGTCCACGTCCACGTCCATGTCCACGTCCACGTCCACGTCCATGTCCACGTCCAAGTCCACGTCCATGTCCACGTCCACGTCCACGTCCACGTCCACGTCCAGTCCACGTCCACGTCCACGTCCACGTCCACGTCCACGTCCACGTCCACGTCACGTCCACGTCCACGTCCACGTCCACGTCCACGTCCACGTCCACGTCCATGTCCATGTCCACGTCCACGTCCACGTCCACGTCCACGTCCACGTCCACGTCACGTCCACGTCCACGTCCACGTCCACGTCCACGTCCACGTCCACGTCCATGTCCACGTCCACGTCCACGTCCACGTCCACGTCCACGTCCACGTCCATGTCCACGTCCACGTCCACGTCCACGTCCACGTCCACGTCCATGTCCACGTCCACGTCCACGTCCACGTCCACGTCCACGTCCACGTCCACGTCCACGTCCACGTCCACGTCCACGTCCACGTCCACGTCCACGTCCACGTCCACGTCCACGTCCACGTCCATGTCCACGTCCACGTCCATGTCCACGTCCACGTCCACGTCCACGTCCACGTCCACGTCCACGTCCACGTCCACGTCCATGTCCACGTCCACGTCCACGTCCACGTCCACGTCCATTTCCACGTCCACGTCCACGTCCACGTCCACGTCCACGTCCACGTCCACGTCCACGTCCATGTCCACGTCCATGTCCACGTCCACGTCCACGTCCACGTCCACGTCCATGTCCACGTCCACGTCCACGTCCACGTCCATGTCCACGTCCACGTCCCACGTCCACGTCCACGTCCACGTCCACGTCCACGTCCACGTCCACGTCCACGTCCACGTCCACGTCCACGTCCACGTCCACGTCCACGTCCACGTCCACGTCCACGTCCACGTCCACGTCCACGTCCACGTCCACGTCCACGTCCACGTCCACGTCCATGTCCACGTCCACGTCCACGTCAACGTCCACGTCCACGTCCACGTCCACGTCCTCCACGTCCACGTCCACGTCCACGTCCACGTCAGTCCACGTCCACGTCCACGTCCACGTCCACGTCCACGTCCACGTCCACGTCCATGTCCACGTCCACGTCCACGTCCATGTCCACGTCCACGTCCATTCCACGTCCACGTCCACGTCCACGTCCATGTCCACGTCCTGTCCACGTCCACGTCCACGTCCACGTCCAGGTCCACGTCCACGTCCACGTCCACGTCCCGTCCACGTCACGTCCACGTCCACGTCCACGTCCACGTCCACGTCCACGTCCACGTCCACTCCACGTCCACGTCCACGTCCATGTCCACGTCCACGTCCACGTCCAGTCCACGTCCACGTCCACGTCCATGTCCACGTCCACGTCCATGTCCACGTCCACGTCCACGTCCACGTCCATGTCCACGTCCACGTCCACGTCCACGTTCACGTCCACGTCCACGTCCATGTCCACGTCCACGTCCATGTCCACGTCCACGTCCACGTCATGTCCACGTCATGTCCACGTCCACGTCCACGTCACGTCCACGTCCACGTCCATGTCCACGTCCATGTCCACGTCCATGTCCACGTCCACGTCCACGTCCACGTCCACGTCCATGTCCACGTCCACGTCCACGTCCATGTCACACGTCCACGTCCACGTCCACGTCCACGTCCACGTCCACGTCATGTCCACGTCCATGTCCACTGTCCACGTCCACGTCCACGTCCACGTCCATTCCACGTCCACGTCCACGTCCACGTCCACGTCCACGTCCACGTCCACGTCCACGTCCACGTCCATGTCCCGTCCACGTCCACGTCCACGTCCACGTCCCGTCCATGTCCACGTCCACGTCCACGTCACGTCCACGTCCATGTCCACGTCCACGTCCATGTCCACGTCCACGTCCACGTCCACGTCCACGTCCACGTCCATGTCCACGTCCACGTCCACGTCCACGTCCATGTCCACGTCCACGTCCACGTCCACGTCCACGTCCATGTCCACGTCCACGTCCACGTCCACGTCCACGTCCACGTCCACGTCCATGTCCACGTCCACGTCCATGTCCACGTCCACGTCCACGTCCACGTCCATTTCCACGTCCACGTCCACGTCCATGTCCACGTCCACGTCCACGTCCACGTCCACGTCCACGTCCACGTCCACGTCCACGTCCACGTCCACGTCCACGTCCATGTCCACGTCCACGTCCACGTCCACGTCCACGTCCATGTCCACGTCCACGTCCACGTCCACGTCCATTCCACGTCCACGTCCATGTCCACGTCCACGTCCATGTCCACGTCCAGTCCACGTCCATGTCCACGTCCACGTCCACGTCCATCCACGTCCACGTCCACGTCCACGTCCACGTCCACGTCCATGTCCACGTCCACGTCCACGTCCACGTCCATGTCCACGTCCACGTCCACGTCCATGTCCACGTCCACGTCCACGTCCACGTCCACGTCCACGTCCACGTCCACGTCCACGTCCACGTCCATGTCCACGTCCACGTCCACGTCCACGTCCATGTCCACGTCCACGTCCAGTCCGTCCACGTCCACGTCCACGTCCACGTCCACGTCCACGTCCACGTCCATGCACGTCCATGTCCACGTCCACGTCCACGTCCACGCACCACGTCCACGTCCACGTCCACGTCCATCCACGTCCACGTCCAGTCCACGTCCACGTCCATGTCCACGTCCACGTCCACGTCCACGTCCACGTCCATGTCCACGTCCACGTCCACGTCCACGTCCACGTCCACGTCCACGTCCATTCCACGTCCACGTCCACGTCCACGTCCATGTCCACGTCCACGTCCACGTCCACGTCCACGTCCACGTCCACGTCCACGTCCACGTCCACGTCCATGTCCACGTCCACGTCCACGTCCACGTCCACGTCCACGTCCACGTCCACGTCCACGTCCATGTCCACGTCCACGTCCATGTCCACGTCCACGTCCATGTCCACGTCCACGTCCACGTCCACGTCCACGTCCACGTCCATGTCACGTCCATGTCCACGTCCACGTCCATGTCCACGTCCACGTCCACGTCCACGTCCACGTCCACGTCCACGTCCACGTCCACGTCCACGTCCACGTCCATGTCCACGTCCACGTCCATCCATGTCCACGTCCACGTCCACGTCCACGTCCACGTCCACGTCCACGTCCATGTCCACGTCCACGTCCACGTCCACGTCCACGTCCACGTCCATGTCCACGTCCACGTCCACGTCCACGTCCACGTCCATGTCCACGTCCACGTCCACGTCCGTCCATGTCACGTCCACGTCCACGTCCACGTCCATCCACGTCCACGTCCACGTCCACGTCCACGTCCACGTCCACGTCCACGTCCACGTCCACGTCCATGTCCACGTCCACGTCCACGTCCACGTCCACGTCCACGTCCACGTCCACGTCCACGTCCACGTCCACGTCCACGTCCACGTCCATGTCCACGTCCACGTCCACGTCCACGTCCACGTCCACGTCCACGTCCACGTCCACGTCCACGTCCACGTCACGTCCACGTCCACGTCCACGTCCATGTCACGTCCACGTCCACGTCCATGTCCACGTCCACGTCCACGTCCACGTCACGTCCACGTCCATGTCCACGTCCACGTCCATGTCCACGTCCACGTCCACGTCCACGTCCATGTCCACGTCCACGTCCACGTCCATGTCCCCCGTCCACGTCCACGTCCACGTCCACGTCCACGTCCACGTCCATTCCACGTCCACGTCCACGTCCACGTCCACGTCCACGTCACGTCCACGTCCACGTCCATGTCCACGTCCACGTCCACGTCCATGTCCACGTCCACGTCCACGTCCACGTCCACGTCCATTCCACGTCCACGTCCAGTCCACGTCCACGTCCATGTCCACGTCCACGTCCACGTCCATTTCCACGTCCACGTCCACGTCCACGTCCACGTCCACGTCCACGTCCACGTCCACGTCCACGTCCATGTCCACGTCCACGTCCATGTCCACGTCCACGTCCATGTCCACGTCCACGTCCACGTCCATGTCCACGTCCACGTCCACGTCCATGTCCACGTCCACGTCCACGTCCACGTCCACGTCCACGTCCATGTCCACGTCCACGTCCACGTCCACGTCCATGTCCACGTCCACGTCCATGTCCACGTCCACGTCCACGTCCACGTCCACGTCCACGTCCATGTCCACGTCCATGTCCACGTCCACGTCCACGTCCACGTCCACGTCCACGTCCACGTCCACGTCCACGTCCACGTCCATGTCCACGTCCACGCCCACTCCACGTCCATTCCACGTCCACGTCCATGTCCACGTCCACGTCCACGTCCATGTCCACGTCCACGTCCATGTCCACGTCCACGTCCGTCCACGTCCACGTCACGTCCACGTCCACGTCCACGTCCACGTCCACGTCCACGTCCACGTCCATGTCCACGTCCACGTCCGTCCACGTCCACGTCCACGTCCACGTCCACGTCCACGTCCATGTCCACGTCCACGTCCACGTCCATGTCCACGTCCACGTCCACGTCCACGTCCACGTCCCGTCCACGTCCACGTCCACGTCCACGTCCATCGTCCACGTCCACGTCCACGTCCACGTCACGTCCACGTCCACGTCCACGTCCACGTCCATGTCCACGTCCACGTCCACGTCCACGTCCACGTCCATTTCCACGTCCACGTCCACGTCCACGTCCACGTCCACGTCCATGTCCACGTCCACGTCCACGTCCACGTCCATGTCCACGTCCACGTCCACGTCCACGTCCACGTCCACGTCCATGTCCACGTCCACGTCACGTCCACGTCCACGTCCACGTCCATGTCCACGTCCACGTCACGTCCACGTCCACGTCCACGTCCGTCCACGTCCACGTCCATGTCCACGTCCACGTCCACGTCCACGTCCACGTCCACGTCCACGTCCACGTCCACGTCCACGTCCACGTCCACGTCCACGTCCACGTCCACGTCCACGTCCAGTCCACGTCACGTCCATGTCCACGTCCACGTCCATGTCCACGTCCACGTCCACGTCCACGTCCATTCCACGTCCACGTCCACGTCCACGTCCACGTCCACGTCCACGTCCACGTCCACGTCCACGTCCACGTCCACGTCCATGTCCACGTCCACGTCCATGTCCACGTCCATGTCCACGTCCACGTCCACGTCCACGTCCACGTCCATGTCCACGTCCACGTCCACGTCCACGTCCACGTCCATGTCCACGTCCACGTCCATGTCCACGTCCACGTCCATGTCCACGTCCACGTCCATGTCCACGTCCACGTCCACGTCCACGTCCACGTCCACGTCCACGTCCACGTCCACGTCCACGTCCACGTCCACGTCCACGTCCACGTCCACGTCCACGTCCATGTCCACGTCCACGTCCACGTCCATGTCCACGTCCACGTCCACGTCCATGTCCACGTCCACGTCCACGTCCACGTCCACGTCCACGTCCACGTCCACGTCCACGTCCACGTCCACGTCCACGTCCACGTCCACGTCCATGTCCACGTCCACGTCCACGTCCACGTCCACGTCCATGTCCACGTCCACGTCCACGTCCACGTCCATGTCCACGTCCACGTCCACGTCCACGTCCATGTCCACGTCCACGTCCACGTCCATGTCCACGTCACGTCCACGTCCACGTCCACGTCCATGTCCACGTCCACGTCCACGTCCACGTCCACGTCCATGTCCACGTCCACGTCCACGTCCATGTCCACGTCCACGTCCACGTCCATGTCCACGTCACGTCCACGTCCACGTCCACGTCCATGTCCACGTCCACGTCCATGTCCACGTCCACGTCCATGTCCACGTCCACGTCCACGTCCATGTCCACGTCCACGTCCACGTCCACGTCCACGTCCACGTCCACGTCCACGTCCACGTCCACGTCCACGTCCACGTCCATGTCCACGTCCACGTCCACGTCCACGTCCACGTCCACGTCCACGTCCACGTCCACGTCCATGTCCACGTCCACGTCCACGTCCATGTCCACGTCCACGTCAATGTCCACGTCCACGTCCACGTCCACGTCCATGTCCACGTCCACGTCCACGTCCACGTCCACGTCCACGTCCACGTCCATGTCCACGTCCACGTCCACGTCCACGTCCACGTCCACGTCCACGTCCACGTCCACGTCCACGTCCATGTCACGTCCACGTCCACGTCCACGTCCACGTCCAGTCCACGTCCATGTCCACGTCCACGTCCACGTCCATGTCCACGTCCATGTCCACGTCCACGTCCACGTCCACGTCCATGTCCACGTCCACGTCCACGTCCACGTCCACGTCCACGTCCACGTCCATGTCCACGTCCACGTCCACGTCCACGTCCACGTCCACGTCCACGTCACGTCCACGTCCACGTCCACGTCCACGTCACGTCCACGTCCACGTCCACGTCCACGTCCACGTCCACGTCCACGTCACGTCCATGTCCATGTCCACGTCCATGTCCACGTCCACGTCCACGTCCACGTCCATGTCCACGTCCACGTCCACGTCCACGTCCACGTCCACGTCCATGTCCACGTCCACGTCCATGTCCACGTCCACGTCCACGTCCACGTCCACGTCCACGTCCATGTCCACGTCCACGTCCACGTCCACGTCCACGTCCATGTCCACGTCCACGTCCACGTCCACGTCCACGTCCACGTCCACGTCCACGTCCACGTCCACGTCCACGTCCACGTCCACGTCCACGTCCACGTCCACGTCCACGTCCACGTCCACGTCCACGTCACGTCCACGTCCACGTCCACGTCCACGTCCACGTCCACGTCCACGTCCACGTCCACGTCCACGTCCACGTCCACGTCCACGTCCACGTCCACGTCCACGTCCACGTCCACGTCCACGTCCACGTCCACGTCCACGTCCACGTCCACGTCCACGTCCACGTCCACGTCCACGTCCACGTCCACGTCCACGTCCACGTCCACGTCCATGTCCACGTCCATGTCCACGTCCACGTCCACGTCCACGTCCACGTCCACGTCCACGTCCATGTCCACGTCCACGTCCACGTCCACGTCCATGTCCACGTCCACGTCCACGTCCACGTCCACGTCCACGTCCACGTCCAAGTCCACGTCCACGTCCACGTCCACGTCCACGTCCACGTCCACGTCCACGTCCACGTCCACGTCCACGTCCACGTCCACGTCCACGTCCACGTCCACGTCCACGTCCACGTCCATGTCCACGTCCACGTCCATGTCCACGTCCACGTCCACGTCCACGTCCACGTCCACGTCCACGTCCATGTCCACGTCCATGTCCACGTCCACGTCCACGTCCACGTCCACGTCCACGTCCACGTCCACGTCCACGTCCACGTCCATGTCCACGTCCACGTCCATGTCCATGTCCACGTCCACGTCCATTCACGTCCACGTCCACGTCCACGTCCATGTCCACGTCCACGTCCACGTCCACGTCCACGTCCACGTCCACGTCCACGTCCAGGTCCACGTCCACGTCCACGTCCACGTCCACGTCCACGTCCACGTCCACGTCCACGTCCACGTCCTCCACCACGTCCACGTCCACGTCCACGTCCACGTCCATGTCCACGTCCACGTCCACGTCCATGTCCACGTCCACGTCCACGTCCACGTCCACGTCCACGTCCATGTCCACGTCCACGTCCACGTCCACGTCCATGTCCACGTCCACGTCCACGTCCACGTCCACGTCCACGTCCACGTCCATGTCCACGTCCATTCCATGTCCACGTCCACGTCCACGTCCACGTCCTGTCCACGTCCACGTCCACGTCCACGTCCACGTCCATGTCCATGTCCACGTCCATGTCCACGTCCATGTCCACGTCCACGTCCACGTCCACGTCCACGTCCATGTCCACGTCCACGTCCACGTCCATGTCCACGTCCACGTCCACGTCCACGTCCACGTCCACGTCCATGTCCACGTCCATGTCCATGTCCACGTCCACGTCCACGTCCACGTCCATTCCACGTCCACGTCCACGTCCACGTCCACGTCCATGTCCACGTCCACGTCCACGTCCACGTCCATTTCCACGTCCACGTCCACGTCCACGTCCACGTCCATGTCCATGTCCACGTCCACGTCCACGTCCACGTCCATGTCCACGTCCACGTCCACGTCCACGTCCACGTCCACGTCCATGTCCACGTCCACGTCCATGTCCACGTCCACGTCCATGTCCACGTCCATGTCCACGTCCATGTCCACGTCCACGTCCACGTCCATGTCCACGTCCACGTCCACGTCCACGTCCACGTCCACGTCCACGTCCATGTCCACGTCCACGTCCATGTCCACGTCCACGTCCACGTCCACGTCCATGTCCACGTCCACGTCCACGTCCATTCCACGTCCACGTCCACGTCCACGTCCATGTCCACGTCCACGTCCATGTCCACGTCCACGTCCATGTCCACGTCCACGTCCACGTCCATGTCCACGTCCACGTCCACGTCCATGTCCACGTCCACGTCCACGTCCACGTCCACGTCCATCGTCCACGTCCACGTCCATGTCCATGTCCACGTCCATGTCCATGTCCACGTCCACGTCCATGTCCACGTCCACGTCCACGTCCACGTCCACGTCCACGTCCACGTCCACGTCCACGTCCATGTCCACGTCCACGTCCATGTCCACGTCCACGTCCATGTCCACGTCCACGTCCACGTCCATGTCCACGTCCACGTCCACGTCCATGTCCACGTCCACGTCCACGTCCACGTCCATGTCTACGTCCACGTCCATGTCCACGTCCACGTCCACGTCCACGTCCATGTCCACGTCCACGTCGTCCACGTCCACGTCCACGTCACGTCCACGTCCACGTCCACGTCCACGTCCATGTCCACGTCCACGTCCACGTCCACGTCCATGTCCACGTCCACGTCCACGTCCACGTCCACGTCCATGTCCACGTCCACGTCCACGTCCATTTCCACGTCCACGTCCATGTCCACGTCCACGTCCATGTCCACGTCCACGTCCACGTCCATTCCACGTCCACGTCCACGTCCACGTCCACGTCCACGTCCACGTCCACGTCCACGTCCATGTCCACGTCCACGTCCACGTCCACGTCCACGTCCACGTCCACGTCCATGTCCACGTCCACGTCCACGTCCACGTCCACGTCCACGTCCATGTCCACGTCCACGTCCATGCCATGTCCACGTCCACGTCCACGTCCACGTCCACGTCCATGTCCACGTCCACGTCCATGTCCACGTCCACGTCCATGTCCACGTCCACGTCCATGTCCACGTCCACGTCCATGTCCACGTCCATCCACGTCCACGTCCACGTCCACGTCCATGTCCACGTCCACGTCCACGTCCACGTCCACGTCCACGTCCACGTCCACGTCCACGTCCATGTCCACGTCCACGTCCATTTCAATATCCATGTCCACGTCCACGTCCACGTCCATTTCCACGTCCACGTCCACGTCCATGTCCACGTCCACGTCCACGTCCACGTCCACGTCCACGTCCACGTCCACGTCCACGTCCACGTCCACGTCCACGTCCATGTCCACGTCCATGTCCACGTCCATGTCCATGTCCACGTCCACGTCCACGTCCACGTCCATGTCCACGTCCACGTCCACGTCCACGTCCACGTCCATGTCCACGTCCACGTCCACGTCCACGTCCATGTCCACGTCCACGTCCACGTCCACGTCACGTCCACTGTCCACGTCCACGTCCACGTCCACGTCCACGTCACGGTCCACTTCCACGTCCACGTCCACGTCCACGTCCACGTCCACGTCCACGTCCACGTCCACGTCCACGTCCACGTCCATGTCCACGTCCACGTCCATGTCCACGTCCACGTCCACGTCCATGTCCACGTCCACGTCCACGTCCATGTCCACGTCCACGTCCACGTCCACGTCCACGTCCACGTCCATGTCCACGTCCACGTCCATGTCCACGTCCACGTCCACGTCCACGTCCATGTCCACGTCCACGTCCACGTCCATTCCACGTCCACGTCCACGTCCACGTCCATCCACGTCCACGTCCATGTCCACGCACGTCCATGTCCACGTCCAGTCCACGTCCATGTCCACGTCCACGTCCACGTCCATGTCCACGTCCACGTCCACGTCCACGTCCATTCCACGTCCACGTCCACGTCCACGTCCACGTCCAGTCCACGTCCACGTCCACGTCCATTTCCACGTCCACGTCCACGTCCACGTCCACGTCCACGTCCACGTCCACGTCCACGTCCACGTCCATGTCCACGTCCACGTCCATGTCCACGTCCACGTCCATGTCCACGTCCACGTCCACGTCCATGTCCACGTCCACGTCCACGTCCACGTCACGTCCACGTCCACGTCCACGTCCACGTCCACGTCCATGTCCACGTCCACGTCCACGTCCACGTCCATGTCCACGTCCACGTCCATGTCCACGTCCACGTCCACGTCCACGTCCACGTCCACGTCCATGTCCACGTCCATGTCCACGTCCATGTCCACGTCCACTCCACGTCCACGTCCACGTCCACGTCCACGTCCACGTCCATGTCCACGTCCACGTCCACGTCCATTCCACGTCCAGTCCATGTCCACGTCCACGTCCACGTCCACGTCCACGTCCACGTCCATGTCCACGTCCACGTCCACGTCCACGTCCATGTCCACGTCCACGTCCACGTCCACGTCCACGTCCACGTCCACGTCCACGTCCATGTCCACGTCCACGTCCATGTCCACGTCCACGTCCATGTCCACGTCCATGTCCACGTCCATGTCCACGTCCACGTCCACGTCCATGTCCACGTCCACGTCCACGTCCACGTCCACGTCCACGTCCACGTCCATGTCCACGTCCACGTCCATGTCCACGTCCACGTCCACGTCCACGTCCATGTCCACGTCCACGTCCACGTCCATGTCCACGTCCACGTCCACGTCCACGTCCATGTCCACGTCCACGTCCACGTCCACGTCCACGTCCACGTCCACGTCCATGTCCACGTCCATGTCCACGTCCACGTCCACGTCCACGTCCACGTCCACGTCCACGTCCACGTCCACGTCCACGTCCATGTCCACGTCCACGTCCATGTCCACGTCCACGTCCACGTCCACGTCCACGTCCACGTCCATTCCACGTCCACGTCCACGTCCACGTCCACGTCCACGTCCACGTCCACGTCCACGTCCACGTCCATGTCCACGTCCACGTCCATGTCCACGTCCACGTCCATGTCCACGTCCACGTCCACGTCCACGTCCACGTCCACGTCCACGTCCATGTCCACGTCCACGTCCACGTCCACGTCCACGTCCACGTCCACGTCCATGTCCACGTCCACGTCCACGTCCACGTCCATGTCCACGTCCACGTCCATGTCCACGTCCACGTCCACGTCCACGTCCACGTCCACGTCCATTCCACGTCCATGTCCACGTCCATGTCCACGTCCACGTCCACGTCCACGTCCACGTCCACGTCCACGTCCACGTCCATGTCCACGTCCACGTCCACGTCCATTCCACGTCCATGTCCGTACGTCCACGTCCACGTCCACGTCCATGTCCACGTCCACGTCCATGTCCACGTCCACGTCCACGTCCACGTCCACGTCCACGTCCACGTCCACGTCCACGTCCACGTCCACGTCCACGTCCATGTCCACGTCCACGTCCACGTCCACGTCCACGTCCACGTCCATGTCCACGTCCACGTCCACGTCCATGTCCACGTCCACGTCCACGTCCACGTCACTTGTCCACGTCCACGTCCACGTCCACGTCCACGTCCACGTCCACGTCCATGTCCACGTCCACGTCCACGTCCACGTCCACGTCCATGTCCACGTCCACGTCCACGTCCACGTCCATGTCCACGTCCAGTCCACGTCACGTCCACGTCCACGTCCACGTCCACGTCCACGTCCACGTCCACGTCCACGTCCACGTCCACGTCCACGTCCACGTCCACGTCCACGTCCACGTCCACGTCCATGTCCACGTCCACGTCCACGTCCACGTCCATGTCCACGTCCACGTCCATGTCCACGTCCACGTCCACGTCCACGTCCACGTCCATGTCCACGTCCACGTCCACGTCCACGTCCACGTCCACGTCCATGTCCACGTCCACGTCCACGTCCACGTCCACGTCCACGTCCACGTCCATGTCCACGTCCACGTCCACGTCCATGTCCACGTCCACGTCCACGTCCACGTCCACGTCCACGTCCACGTCCACGTCCATGTCCACGTCCATGTCCACGTCCACGTCCACGTCCACGTCCACGTCCACGTCCACGTCCACGTCCACGTCCATGTCCATGTCCACGTCCACGTCCACGTCCAGTTCCACGTCCACGTCCACGTCCATGTCCACGTCCACGTCCACGTCCACGTCCACGTCCAAGTCCACGTCCAGTCCACGTCCACGTCCACGTCCACGTCCACGTCCACGTCCACGTCCACGTCCACGTCCACGTCCACGTCCACGTCCACGTCCACGTCCATGTCCACGTCCACGTCCACGTCCACGTCCACGTCCACGTCCACGTCCACGTCCATGTCCACGTCCACGTCCGTCCACGTCCACGTCCACGTCCACGTCCACGTCCACGTCCACGTCCACGTCCACGTCCACGTCCACGTCCACGTCCATGTCCACGTCCACGTCCACGTCCACGTCCATGTCCACGTCCATGTCCACGTCCATGTCCACGTCCACGTCCACGTCCACGTCCACGTCCACGTCCATGTCCACGTCCACGTCCACGTCCACGTCCACGTCCACGTCCACGTCCATGTCCACGTCCACGTCCACGTCCATGTCCACGTCCACGTCCACGTCCACGTCCACGTCCACGTCCACGTCCATGTCCACGTCCACGTCCATGTCCACGTCCACGTCCACGTCCATGTCCACGTCCACGTCCACGTCCAATGTCCACGTCCACGTCCACGTCCACGTCCACGTCCACGTCCATGTCCACGTCCACGTCCACGTCCACGTCCACGTCCACGTCCACGTCCACGTCCACGTCCACGTCCACGTCCACGTCCACGTACGTCCACGTCCACGTCCACGTCCACGTCCACGTCCATGTCCACGTCCACGTCCACGTCCACGTCCACGTCCACGTCCACGTCCACGTCCACGTCCATGTCCACGTCCACGTCCACGTCCATGTCCACGTCCACGTCCACGTCCACGTCCACGTCCATGTCCACGTCCACGTCCACGTCCACGTCCACGTCCACGTCCACGTCCACGTCCACGTCCACGTCCACGTCCACGTCCATGTCCATGTCCACGTCCACGTCCACGTCCACGTCCATGTCCACGTCCATGTCCACGTCCACGTCCACGTCCACGTCCACGTCCACGTCCACGTCCACGTCCACGTCCACGTCCACGTCCACGTCCATGTCCACGTCCACGTCCATGTCCACGTCCACGTCCACGTCCATGTCCACGTCCACGTCCACGTCCACGTCCACGTCCACGTCCACGTCCACGTCCACGTCCACGTCCATGTCCACGTCCACGTCCACGTCCACGTCCACGTCCACGTCCACGTCCACGTCCACGTCCACGTCCACGTCCATGTCCACGTCCACGTCCATGTCCACGTCCACGTCCACGTCCACGTCCATGTCCACGTCCACGTCCATGTCCACGTCCACGTCCACGTCCACGTCCACGTCCACGTCCATGTCCACGTCCACGTCCACGTCCACGTCCACGTCCACGTCCACGTCCACGTCCATGTCCACGTCCACGTCCACGTCCACGTCCATGTCCATGTCCACGTCCACGTCCACGTCCACGTCCACGTCCATGTCCATGTCCACGTCCACGTCCACGTCCATGTCCACGTCCACGTCCACGTCCACGTCCACGTCCATGTCCACGTCCACGTCCATGTCCACGTCCACGTCCAGTCCACGTCCACGTCCACGTCCACGTCCACGTCCACGTCCACGTCCACGTCCACGTCCATGTCCACGTCCACGTCCACGTCCACGTCCACGTCCATGTCCACGTCCACGTCCACGTCCACGTCCATGTCCACGTCCACGTCCACGTCCACGTCCACGTCCACGTCCACGTCCACGTCCACGTCCACGTCCACGTCCACGTCCACGTCCACGTCCACGTCCATGTCCACGTCCACGTCCATGTCCACGTCCACGTCCACGTCCAGTCCACGTCCACGTCCACGTCCACGTCCATGTCCACGTCCACGTCCACGTCCACGTCCATGTCCACGTCCACGTCCACGTCCACGTCCACGTCCACGTCCACGTCCATTCCACGTCCATGTCCACGTCCACGTCCACGTCCACGTCCACGTCCACGTCCACGTCCACGTCCCCGTCCACGTCCACGTCCACGTCCACGTCCACGTCCACGTCCACGTCCACGTCCACGTCCACGTCCACGTCCACGTCCACGTCCACGTCCACGTCCACGTCCACGTCCACGTCCACGTCCACGTCCACGTCCACGTCCATGTCCACGTCCACGTCCACGTCCACGTCCACGTCCACGTCCACGTCCATGTCCACGTCCATGTCCACGTCCATGTCCACGTCCACGTCCACGTCCACGTCCACGTCCACGTCCACGTCCACGTCCACGTCCACGTCCACGTCCACGTCCACGTCCACGTCCACGTCCACGTCCACGTCCACGTCCACGTCCACGTCCACGTCCACGTCCACGTCCACGTCCACGTCCATGTCCACGTCCATGTCCACGTCCACGTCCACGTCCACGTCCACGTCCACGTCCACGTCCACGTCCACGTCCACGTCCACGTCCACGTCCACGTCCACGTCCACGTCCACGTCCATGTCCACGTCCACGTCCACGTCCACGTCCATGTCCACGTCCACGTCCACGTCCACGTCCATGTCCACGTCCACGTCCACGTCCACGTCCACGTCCACGTCCACGTCCACGTCCACGTCCACGTCCACGTCCATGTCCACGTCCACGTCCACGTCCATGTCCACGTCCACGTCCACGTCCATGTCCACGTCCACGTCCACGTCCACGTCCATGTCCACGTCCACGTCCACGTCCACGTCCACGTCCACGTCCACGTCCACGTCCACGTCCATGTCCACGTCCACGTCCATGTCCACGTCCACGTCCACGTCCATGTCCACGTCCACGTCCATGTCCACGTCCACGTCCATGTCCACGTCCACGTCCATGTCCACGTCCACGTCCACGTCCACGTCCACGTCCACGTCCACGTCCACGTCCACGTCCATGTCCACGTCCACGTCCACGTCCACGTCCATGTCCACGTCCACGTCCACGTCCACGTCCGTCCACGTCCACGTCCACGTCCACGTCCACGTCCACGTCCACGTCCACGTCCACGTCCACGTCCACGTCCACGTCCACGTCCACGTCCACGTCCACGTCCATGTCCACGTCCACGTCCACGTCCACGTCCATGTCCATGTCCACGTCCACGTCCACGTCCACGTACGTCCATGTCCACGTCCACGTCCACGTCCACGTCCATGTCCACGTCCACGTCCACGTCCACGTCCACGTCCATGTCCACGTCCACGTCCATGTCCACGTCCACGTCCAGTCCACGTCCACGTCCACGTCCACGTCCAGTCCACGTCCACGTCCACGTCCACGTCCATGTCCACGTCCACGTCCACGTCCACGTCCACGTCCATGTCCACGTCCACGTCCACGTCCACGTCCATGTCCACGTCCACGTCCACGTCCACGTCCACGTCCACGTCCACGTCCACGTCCACGTCCACGTCCACGTCCACGTCCACGTCCACGTCCACGTCCATGTCCACGTCCACGTCCACGTCCATGTCCACGTCCACGTCCACGTCCACGTCCATGTCCACGTCCACGTCCACGTCCACGTCCACGTCCACGTCCACGTCCACGTCCACGTCCACGTCCACGTCCACGTCCATGTCCACGTCCACGTCCATGTCCACGTCCACGTCCACGTCCATGTCCACGTCCATGTCCACGTCCACGTCCACGTCCACGTCCACGTCCACGTCCACGTCCACGTCCACGTCCACGTCCACGTCCACGTCCACGTCCACGTCCACGTCCACGTCCACGTCCACGTCCACGTCCACGTCCACGTCCACGTCCACGTCCACGTCCACGTCCACGTCCACGTCCACGTCCATCCACGTCCACGTCCACGTCCACGTCCACGTCCACGTCCACGTCCACGTCCACGTCCACGTCCACGTCCACGTCCACGTCCACGTCCACGTCCACGTCCACGTCCACGTCCATGTCCACGTCCATGTCCACGTCCAAGTCCACGTCCATGTCCACGTCCATGTCCACGTCCACGTCCACGTCCACGTCCACGTCCACGTCCACGTCCACGTCCACGTCCACGTCCATGTCCACGTCCACGTCCACGTCCACGTCCATGTCCATGTCCACGTCCACGTCCACGTCCACGTCCATGTCCACGTCCACGTCCACGTCCACGTCCATGTCCACGTCCACGTCCACGTCCACGTCCACGTCCACGTCCACGTCCACGTCCACGTCCACGTCCACGTCCATGTCCACGTCACGTCCACGTCCATGTCCACGTCCACGTCCACGTCCATCTCCACGTCCACGTCCACGTCCACGTCCATGTCCACGTCCACGTCCACGTCCACGTCCACGTCCACGTCCACGTCCATGTCCACGTCCACGTCCATGTCCACGTCCACGTCCATGTCCACGTCCACGTCCACGTCCATGTCCACGTCCATGTCCATGTCCACGTCCACGTCCATGTCCACGTCCACGTCCATGTCCACGTCCATGTCCATGTCCACGTCCACGTCCACGTCCATGTCCACGTCCACGTCCATGTCCACGTCCACGTCCACGTCCACGTCCACGTCCACGTCCACGTCCACGTCCACGTCCACGTCCACGTCCACGTCCACGTCCACGTCCACGTCCACGTCCATGTCCACGTCCACGTCCACGTCCACGTCCACGTCCACGTCCACGTCCACGTCCACGTCCATGTCCACGTCCACGTCCATGTCCACGTCCACGTCCACGTCCATGTCCACGTCCACGTCCACGTCCACGTCCACGTCCACGTCCACGTCCACGTCCATGTCCACGTCCACGTCCACGTCCACGTCCACGTCCACGTCCACGTCCACGTCCAGTCCACGTCCACGTCCACGTCCACGTCCACGTCCACGTCCACGTCCATGTCCACGTCCACGTCCACGTCCACGTCCACGTCCACGTCCACGTCCACGTCCACGTCCACGTCCATGTCCACGTCCACGTCCATGTCCACGTCCACGTCCACGTCCATGTCCACGTCCACGTCCACGTCCACGTCCACGTCCACGTCCACGTCCATGTCCACGTCCACGTCCATGTCCACGTCCACGTCCATGTCCACGTCCATGTCCACGTCCACGTCCATGTCCACGTCCACGTCCACGTCCACGTCCACGTCCACGTCCACGTCCACGTCCATGTCCACGTCCACGTCCACGTCCACGTCCACGTCCACGTCCACGTCCACGTCCACGTCCATGTCCACGTCCACGTCCATGTCCACGTCCATGTCCACGTCCACGTCCATGTCCACGTCCATGTCCACGTCCATGTCCACGTCCACGTCCATGTCCACGTCCACGTCCATGTCCACGTCCACGTCCATGTCCACGTCCATGTCCACGTCCATGTCCACGTCCATGTCCACGTCCATGTCCACGTCCACGTCCATGTCCACGTCCACGTCCACGTCCACGTCCACGTCCACGTCCACGTCCACGTCCACGTCCACGTCCACGTCCAGTCCACGTCCACGTCCACGTCCACGTCCACGTCCACGTCCACGTCCATGTCCACGTCCACGTCCACGTCCACGTCCATGTCCACGTCCACGTCCATGTCCACGTCCACGTCCACGTCCACGTCCATGTCCACGTCCATGTCCACGTCCACGTCCACGTCCACGTCCACGTCCACGTCCACGTCCACGTCCACGTCCACGTCCACGTCCACGTCCATGTCCACGTCTAGGTCCACGTCCACGTCCACGTCCACGTCCATGTCCACGTCCACGTCCACGTCCACGTCCATGTCCACGTCCACGTCCACGTCCACGTCCACGTCCACGTCCACGTCCACGTCCACGTCCACGTCCATGTCCACGTCCACAACCACCCACGTCCACGTCCATGTCCACGTCCACGTCCACGTCCACGTCCATGTCCACGTCCACGTCCATGTCCACGTCCACGTCCACGTCCACGTCCACGTCCACGTCCACGTCCACGTCCACGTCCACGTCCATGTCCACGTCCACGTCCACGTCCACGTCCACGTCCATGTCCACGTCCACGTCCATGTCCACGTCCACGTCCACGTCCACGTCCATGTCCACGTCCACGTCCATGTCCACGTCCACGTCCACGTCCACGTCCACGTCCACGTCCACGTCCACGTCCACGTCCACGTCCACGTCCACGTCCACTCCACGTCCACGTCCACGTCCACGTCCAGTCCACGTCCACGTCCATGTCCACGTCCATGTCCACGTCCACGTCCATGTCCACGTCCACGTCCACGTCCACGTCCACGTCCACGTCCACGTCCACGTCCACGTCCACGTCCACGTCCACGTCCACGTCCACGTCCACGTCCACGTCCACGTCCACGTCCACGTCCACGTCCACGTCCACGTCCACGTCCACGTCCACGTCCACGTCCACGTCCACGTCCACGTCCACGTCCACGTCCACGTCCACGTCCACGTCCACGTCCATGTCCACGTCCACGTCCACGTCCACGTCCACGTCCACGTCCACGTCCACGTCCACGTCCACGTCCACGTCCACGTCCACGTCCACGTCCACGTCACGTCCACGTCCATGTCCACGTCCACGTCCACGTCCACGTCCACGTCCACGTCCACGTCCACGTCCACGTCCACGTCCACGTCCACGTCCACGTCCACGTCCACGTCCACGTCCACGTCCATGTCCACGTCCATGTCCATGTCCACGTCCACGTCCACGTCCATGTCCACGTCCACGTCCACGTCCACGTCCACGTCCACGTCCACGTCCATGTCCACGTCCATGTCCACGTCCACGTCCACGTCCACGTCACGTCCATGTCCACGTCCACGTCCACGTCCACGTCCACGTCCACGTCCACGTCCACGTCCACGTCCACGTCCACGTCCACGTCCAAGTCCACGTCCATGTCCATGTCCACGTCCACGTCCACGTCCATGTCCACGTCCACGTCCATGTCCACGTCCACGTCCAAGTCCACGTCCACGTCCACGTCCATGTCCACGTCCACGTCCACGTCCACGTCCACGTCCACGTCCACGTCCACGTCCACGTCCATGTCCACGTCCACGTCCACGTCCACGTCCATGTCCACGTCCACGTCCACGTCCATGTCCACGTCCACGTCCACGTCCATGTCCACGTCCACGTCCACGTCCACGTCCACGTCCATGTCCACGTCCACGTCCACGTCCATGTCCACGTCCACGTCCACGTCCACGTCCACGTCCACGTCACGTCCACGTCCACGTCCACGTCCACGTCCACGTCCACGTCCACGTCCACGTCCATGTCCACGTCCACGTCCACGTCCATGTCCACGTCCACGTCCACGTCCACGTCCACGTCCACGTCCATGTCCACGTCCACGTCCACGTCCATGTCCACGTCCACGTCCACGTCCATGTCCACGTCCACGTCCACGTCCACGTCCACGTCCACGTCCACGTCCACGTCCACGTCCACGTCACGTCCACGTCCAAGTCCATGTCCACGTCCATGTCCACGTCCACGTCCACGTCCACGTCCACGTCCACGTCCACGTCCACGTCCACGTCCACGTCCACGTCCACGTCCACGTCCACGTCCACGTCCACGTCCACGTCCATGTCCACGTCCACGTCCACGTCACGTCCACGTCCACGTCCACGTCCACGTCCACGTCCATGTCCACGTCCACGTCCACGTCCACGTCCACGTCCACGTCCACGTCCACGTCCACGTCCACGTCCACGTCCACGTCCACGTCCATGTCCACGTCCACGTCCACGTCCACGTCCACGTCCACGTCCACGTCCACGTCCACGTCACGTCCACGTCCACGTCCACGTCCACGTCCACGTCCACGTCCACGTCCACGTCCACGTCCACGTCCACGTCCACGTCCACGTCCACGTCCACGTCCACGTCCACGTCCACGTCCACGTCCACGTCCATGTCCACGTCCACGTCCACGTCCATGTCCACGTCCACGTCCACGTCCACGTCCACGTCCACGTCCATGTCCACGTCCACGTCCACGTCCATGTCCACGTCCATGTCCACGTCCACGTCCACGTCCACGTCCACGTCCATGTCCACGTCCACGTCCATGTCCACGTCCACGTCCACGTCCACGTCCACGTCCACGTCCACGTCCACGTCCACGTCCATGTCCACGTCCACGTCCATGTCCACGTCCACGTCCACGTCCACGTCCACGTCCACGTCCACGTCCATGTCCACGTCCACGTCCATGTCCACGTCCACGTCCACGTCCACGTCCACGTCCACGTCCACGTCCACGTCCACGTCCACGTCCACGTCCACGTCATCCACGTCCACGTCCACGTCCACGTCCACGACGACGACGACGTCCACGTCCATCCACGTCCACGTCCACGTCCACGTCCACGTCCACGTCCATGTCCACGTCCACGTCCACGTCCACGTCCACGTCCACGTCCACGTCACGTCCACGTCCACGTCCACGTCCACGTCCACGTCCACGTCCACGTCCACGTCCACGTCCACGTCCGGTCCACGTCCACGTCCACGTCCACGTCCACGTCCACGTCCACGTCCACGTCCATCCACGTCCACGTCCACGTCCACGTCCACGTCCACGTCCATGTCCACGTCCACGTCCATGTCCACGTCCACGTCCATGTCCACGTCCACGTCCACGTCCACGTCCACGTCCACGTCCACGTCCACGTCCACGTCCACGTCCACGTCCACGTCCACGTCCACGTCCACGTCCACGTCCACGTCCACGTCTCCACGTCCACGTCCACGTCCACGTCCACGTCCATGTCCACGTCCACGTCCACGTCCACCGTCCACGTCCACGTCCACGTCCACGCACGTCCACGTCCACGTCCACGTCCACGTCCACGTCCACGTCCACGTCCACGTCCACGTAGTCCACGTCCATGTCCACGTCCACGTCCACGTCCATGTCCACGTCCACGTCCACGTCCATGTCCACGTCCATGTCCACGTCCACGTCCATGTCCACGTCCACGTCCACGTCCACGTCCACGTCCACGTCCACGTCCACGTCCATGTCCACGTCCACGTCCACGTCCACGTCCAGTCCACGTCCACGTCCACGTCCACGTCCATGTCCACGTCCACGTCCATGTCCACGTCCACGTCCACGTCCACGTCCACGTCCACGTCCACGTCCACGTCCATCCACGTCCACGTCCACGTCCACGTCCACGTCCACGTCCATGTCCACGTCCACGTCCACGTCACGTCCACGTCCACGTCCACGTCCACGTCCACGTCCACGTCCACGTCCACGTCCATGTCCACGTCCACGTCCACGTCCACGTCCACGTCCACGTCCACGTCCACGTCCACGTCCACGTCCACGTCCACGTCCACGTCCACGTCCACGTCCACGTCCACGTCCACGTCCACGTCCACGTCCACGTCCACGTCCACGTCCACGTCCACGTCCATCACGTCCACGTCCACGTCCACGTCCACGTCCAGTCCATGTCCACGTCCACGTCCACGTCCATGTCCACGTCCACGTCCACGTCCACGTCCACGTCCACGTCCACGTCCACGTCCATGTCCACGTCCACGTCCACGTCCATGTCCACGTCCACGTCCACGTCCATGTCCACGTCCACGTCCACGTCCACGTCCACGTCCACGTCCACGTCCACGTCCACGTCCAGTCCACGTCCACGTCCAACGTCCACGTCCATGTCCATGTCCACGTCCACGTCCACGTCCATGTCCACGTCCACGTCCATGTCATCGTCCACGCCACGTCCACGTCCACGTCCACGTCCACGTCCACGTCCATGTCACGTCCACGTCCACGTCCACGTCCACGTCCACGTCCACGTCCACGTCCACGTCCACGTCCACGTCCATGTCCACGTCCACGTCCACGTCCACGTCCACGTCCACGTCCACGTCCACGTCCATGTCCACGTCCACGTCCACGTCCATGTCCACGTCCACGTCCACGTCCACGTCCACGTCCATGTCCACGTCCGTCCACGTCCATGTCCACGTCCACGTCCACGTCCACGTCCACGTCCACGTCCACGTCCATGTCCACGTCCACGTCCACGTCCACGTCCACGTCCACGTCCACGTCCACGTCCACGTCCACGTCCACGTCCACGTCCACGTCCACGTCCACGTCCACGTCCACGTCCACGTCCACGTCCACGTCCATGTCCACGTCCACGTCCACGTCCATGTCCACGTCCACGTCCACGTCCACGTCCACGTCCACGTCCACGTCCACGTCCACGTCCACGTCCACGTCCACGTCCACGTCCACGTCCACGTCCACGTCCACGTCCACGTCCACGTCCACGTCCACGTCCACGTCCACGTCCACGTCCACGTCCACGTCCACGTCCACGTCCACGTCACGTCCACGTCCACGTCCACGTCCACGTCCACGTCCACACGTCCACGTCCACGTCCACGTCCACGTCCACGTCCACGTCCACGTCCACGTCCACGTCCACGTCCACGTCCATGTCCACGTCCACGTCCACGTCCACGTCCACGTCCATGTCCACGTCCACGTCCACGTCCACGTCCATGTCCACGTCCACGTCCACGTCCACGTCCACGTCCACGTCCACGTCCACGTCCACGTCCACGTCCACGTCCACGTCCACGTCCACGTCCATGTCACGTACGTCCACGTCCATGTCCACGTCCACGTCCACGTCCATGTCCACGTCCACGTCCACGTCCACGTCCATGTCACGTCCACGTCCACGTCCACGTCCACGTCCACGTCCATGTCCACGTCCACGTCCATGTCCACGTCCACGTCCATGTCCACGTCCACGTCCACGTCCATGTCCACGTCCACGTCCACGTCCACGTCCACGTCCACGTCCACGTCCACGTCCATGTCCACGTCCACGTCCACGTCCACGTCCACGTCCACGTCCATGTCCACGTCCACGTCCACGTCCACGTCCACGTCCACGTCCACGTCCATGTCCACGTCCACGTCCCGTCCACGTCCACGTCCACGTCCACGTCCACGTCCACGTCCACGTCCACGTCCACGTCCACGTCCACGTCCACGTCCACGTCCACGTCCACGTCCACGTCCACGTCCACGTCCATGTCCACGTCCACGTCCATGTCCACGTCCACGTCACGTCCACGTCCACGTCCACGTCCACGTCCACGTCCACGTCCACGTCCACGTCCACGTCCACGTCCATGTCCACGTCCACGTCCAGTCCACGTCCACGTCCACGTCCACGTCCACGTCCACGTCCACGTCCATCCACGTCCACGTCCACGTCCACGTCCACGTCCATGTCCACGTCCACGTCCACGTCCACGTCCACGTCCACGTCCACGTCCACGTCCACGTCCACGTCCACGTCCACGTCCACGTCCATGTCCACGTCCACGTCCACGTCCACGTCCACGTCCACGTCCACGTCCACGTCCACGTCCACGTCCACGTCCACGTCCACGTCCACGTCCACGTCCATGTCCACGTCCACGTCCACGTCCACGTCCACGTCCACGTCCACGTCCACGTCCACGTCCACGTCCACGTCCACGTCCACGTCCATGTCCACGTCCACGTCCACGTCCATGTCCACGTCCACGTCCACGTCCACGTCCACGTCCACGTCCACGTCCACGTCCACGTCCATGTCCATGTCCACGTCCACGTCCACGTCCACGTCCACGTCCATGTCCACGTCCACGTCCATGTCCACGTCCATGTCCACGTCCACGTCCACGTCCACGTCCAACACGTCCATGTCCACGTCCACGTCCACGTCCACGTCCATGTCCACGTCCACGTCCACGTCCACGTCCACGTCCATGTCCACGTCCACGTCACGCCTATCTCCACGTCCACGTCCACGTCCACGTCCACGTCCAGTCCACGTCCACGTCCACGTCCACGTCCACGTCCACGTCCATGTCCACGTCCACGTCCACGTCCACGTCCACGTCCACGTCCACGTCCATGTCCACGTCCACGTCCACGTCCACGTCCATGTCCACGTCCACGTCCACGTCCACGTCCACGTCCACGTCCACGTCCATGTCCACGTCCATGTCCACGTCCACGTCCACGTCCACGTCCACGTCCACGTCCACGTCCACGTCCACGTCCACGTCCACGTCCACGTCCACGTCCACGTCCACGTCCACGTCCACGTCCGTCCACGTCCACGTCCACGTCCACGTCCACGTCCACGTCCATGTCCACGTCCACGTCCACGTCCACGTCCACGTCCACGTCCACGTCCACGTCCACGTCCCGTCCACGTCCACGTCCACCCACGTCCACGTCCATGTCCACGTCCACGTCCACGTCCACGTCCAGTCCACGTCCACGTCCACGTCACGTCCACGTCCACGTCACGTCCACGTCCACGTCCACGTCCATGTCCACGTCCACGTCCACGTCCACGTCCACGTCCACGTCCACGTCCACGTCCACGTCCACGTCCACGTCCTGTCCACGTCCACGTCCACGTCCACGTCCACGTCCACGTCCACGTCCATGTCCACGTCCACGTCCACGTCCACGTCCACGTCCACGTCCACGTCCACGTCCACGTCCACGTCCACGTCCACGTCCACGTCCATGTCCACGTCCACGTCCACGTCCACGTCCATGTCCACGTCCACGTCCATGTCCACGTCCATGTCCACGTCCACGTCCATGTCCACGTCCACGTCCACGTCCACGTCCACGTCCACGTCCACGTCCACGTCCACGTCCACGTCCACGTCCACGTCCACGTCCACGTCCACGTCCACGTCCACGTCCACGTCCACGTCCACGTCCACGTCCACGTCCACGTCCACGTCCACGTCCACGTCCACGTCCACGTCCACGTCCACGTCCACGTCCACGTCCACGTCCATGTCCACGTCCACGTCCACGTCCACGTCCACGTCCACGTCCACGTCCACGTCCACGTCCACGTCCACGTCCACGTCCACGTCCACGTCCACGTCCACGTCCACGTCCACGTCCACGTCCACGTCCACGTCCACGTACGTCCACGTCCACGTCCACGTCCACGTCCACGTCCACGTCCACGTCCACGTCCACGTCCACGTCCACGTCCACGTCCACGTCCACGTCCATGTCCACGTCCACGTCCACGTCCACGTCCACGTCCACGTCCACGTCCACGTCCACGTCCGTCCACGTCCACGTCCACGTCCACGTCCACGTCCACGTCCACGTCCACGTCCATGTCCAGTCCACGTCCACGTCCACGTCCACGTCCACGTCCACGTCCACGTCCACGTCCACGTCCACGTCCACGTCCACGTCCACGTCCACGTCCACGTCCACGTCCACGTCCACGTCCACGTCCACGTCCATGTCCACGTCCACGTCCACGTCCACGTCCACGTCCACGTCCACGTCCACGTCCACGTCCATGTCCACGTCCACGTCCACGTCCACGTCCACGTCCACGTCCACGTCCACGTCCACGTCCACGTCCACGTCCACGTCCACGTCCACGTCCACGTCCACGTCCACGTCCACGTCCACGTCCACCACGTCCACGTCCACGTCCACGTCCACGTCCACGTCCACGTCCACGTCCACGTCCACGTCCACGTCCACGTCCATGTCCACGTCCACGTCCACGTCCACGTCCACGTCCACGTCCACGTCCACGTCCACGTCCACGTCCATGTCCACGTCCACGTCCACGTCCATGTCCACGTCCACGTCCACGTCCACGTCCACGTCCACGTCCACGTCCACGTCCACGTCCACGTCCACGTCCACGTCCACGTCCACGTCCACGTCCACGTCCACGTCCACGTCCACGTCCACGTCCACGTCCACGTCCACGTCCATGTCACGTCCACGTCCACGTCCACGTCCACGTCCACGTCCACGTCCACGTCCACGTCCACGTCCACGTCCACGTCCATGTCCACGTCCACGTCCACGTCCACGTCCACGTCCACGTCCACGTCCACGTCCACGTCCACGTCCATGTCCACGTCCACGTCCACGTCCACGTCCACGTCCACGTCCACGTCCACGTCCACGTCCACGTCCACGTCCACGTCCACGTCCACGTCCACGTCCACGTCCACGTCCACGTCCACGTCCACGTCCACGTCCACGTCCACGTCCACGTCCACGTCCACGTCCACGTCCATGTCCACGTCCACGTCCACGTCCACGTCCACGTCCACGTCCACGTCCACGTCCACGTCCACGTCCACGTCCACGTCCACGTCCACGTCCATGTCCACGTCCACGTCCACGTCCACGTCCACGTCCACGTCCACGTCCACGTCCACGTCCACGTCCACGTCCACGTCCATGTCCACGTCCACGTCACGTCCACGTCCACGTCCACGTCCACGTCCACGTCCACGTCCACGTCCACGTCCACGTCCACGTCCACGTCCACGTCCACGTCCACGTCCATGTCCACGTCCACGTCCACGTCCACGTCCACGTCCATGTCCACGTCCACGTCCACGTCCACGTCCACGTCCACGTCCACGTCCACGTCCACGTCCACGTCCACGTCCACGTCCACGTCCACGTCCACGTCCACGTCCACGTCCACGTCCACGTCCACGTCCATGTCCACGTCCATGTCCACGTCCACGTCCACGTCACGTCCACGTCCACGTCCACGTCCACGTCCACGTCCACGTCCACGTCCACGTCCACGTCCACGTCCACGTCCACGTCCACGTCCACGTCCACGTCCACGTCCACGTCCACGTCCACGTCCACGTCCACGTCCACGTCCACGTCCACGTCCACGTCCACGTCCACGTCCACGTCCACGTCCACGTCCACGTCCACGTCCACGTCACGTCCACGTCCATGTCCATGTCCACGTCCACGTCCACGTCCATGTCCACGTCCACGTCCACGTCCACGTCCACGTCCACGTCCACGTCCACGTCCACGTCCACGTCCACGTCCACGTCCATGTCCACGTCCACGTCCACGTCCACGTCCACGTCCACGTCCACGTCCACGTCCATGTCCACGTCCACGTCCACGTCCACGTCCACGTCCACGTCCACGTCCACGTCCACGTCCACGTCCACGTCCACGTCCACGTCCACGTCCACGTCCACGTCCACGTCCACGTCCACGTCCACGTCCACGTCCACGTCCACGTCCACGTCCACGTCCACGTCCACGTCCACGTCCACGTCCATGTCCACGTCCACGTCCACGTCCACGTCCACGTCCACGTCCACGTCCACGTCCACGTCCACGTCCACGTCCACGTCCACGTCCACGTCCATGTCCACGTCCACGTCCACGTCCACGTCCACGTCCACGTCCACGTCCACGTCCACGTCCACGTCCACGTCCACGTCCACGTCCACGTCCACGTCCACGTCCACGTCCACGTCCACGTCCACGTCCACGTCCACGTCCACGTCCACGTCCACGTCCACGTCCACGTCCACGTCCACGTCCATGTCCACGTCCACGTCCACGTCCACGTCCAGTCCACGTCCACGTCCACGTCCACGTCCATGTCCACGTCCACGTCCAGTCCACGTCCACGTCCACGTCCACGTCCACGTCCACGTCCACGTCCACGTCCACGTCCACGTCCACGTCCACGTCCACGTCCACGTCCACGTCCACGTCCATGTCCACGTCCACGTCCACGTCCACGTCCACGTCCACGTCCACGTCCACGTCCACGTCCACGTCCATGTCCACGTCCACGTCCACGTCCACGTCCACGTCCACGTCCACGTCCACGTCCACGTCCACGTCCACGTCCACGTCCACGTCCACGTCCACGTCCACGTCCACGTCCACGTCCACGTCCACGTCCATGTCCACGTCCACGTCCACGTCCACGTCCACGTCCACGTCCACGTCCATGTCCACGTCCACGTCCACGTCCACGTCCACGTCCACGTCCACGTCCACGTCCACGTCCACGTCCACGTCCACGTCCACGTCCACGTCCACGTCCACGTCCACGTCCACGTCCACGTCCACGTCCATGTCCACGTCCACGTCCACGTCCACGTCCACGTCCACGTCCACGTCCACGTCCACGTCCACGTCCATGTCCACGTCCAGTCCACGTCCACGTCCACGTCCACGTCCACGTCCACGTCCACGTCCACGTCACGTCCACGTCCACGTCCACGTCCACGTCCACGTCCACGTCCACGTCCACGTCCACGTCCACGTCCACGTCCACGTCCACGTCCACGTCCACGTCCACGTCCACGTCCACGTCCACGTCCACGTCCACGTCCACGTCCACGTCCACGTCCACGTCCACGTCCACGTCCACGTCCACGTCCACGTCCACGTCCACGTCCACGTCCACGTCCACGTCCACGTCCACGTCCACGTCCACGTCCACGTCCACGTCCACGTCCACGTCCACGTCCACGTCCACGTCCACGTCCACGTCCACGTCCATGTCCACGTCCACGTCCACGTCCACGTCCACGTCCACGTCCACGTCCACGTCCACGTCCACGTCCACGTCCACGTCCACGTCCACGTCCACGTCCACGTCCACGTCCACGTCCACGTCCACGTCCACGTCCACGTCCACGTCCACGTCCACGTCCACGTCCACGTCCACGTCCACGTCCACGTCCACGTCCACGTCCACGTCCACGTCCACGTCCACGTCCACGTCCACGTCCACGTCCATGTCCACGTCCACGTCCACGTCCACGTCCACGTCCACGTCCACGTCCATGTCCATGTCCACGTCCACGTCCACGTCCATGTCCACGTCCACGTCCACGTCCACGTCCACGTCCATGTCCACGTCCACGTCCACGTCCATGTCCACGTCCACGTCCACGTCCACGTCCACGTCCACGTCCACGTCCACGTCCACGTCCACGTCCACGTCCACGTCCACGTCCACGTCCGTGTCCACGTCCACGTCCACGTCCACGTCCGTCCACGTCCACGTCCACGTCCACGTCCACGTCCATGTCCACGTCCACGTCCACGTCCACGTCCACGTCCACGTCCACGTCCACGTCCACGTCCACGTCCACGTCCACGTCCACGTCCACGTCCACGTCCACGTCCACGTCCACGTCCACGTCCACGTCCACGTCCACGTCATGTCCACGTCCACGTCCACGTCCACGTCCACGTCCACGTCCACGTCCACGTCCACGTCCACGTCCACGTCCACGTCCACGTCCACGTCCACGTCCACGTCCACGTCCACGTCCACGTCCATGTCCACGTCCACGTCCACGTCCACGTCCACGTCCACGTCCACGTCCACGTCCACGTCCACGTCCACGTCCACGTCCACGTCCACGTCCACGTCCACGTCCACGTCCACGTCCACGTCCACGTCCACGTCCACGTCCACGTCCATGTCACGTCCACGTCCACGTCCATGTCCACGTCCACGTCCACGTCCACGTCCACGTCCACGTCCACGTCCACGTCCACGTCCACGTCCACGTCCACGTCCACGTCCACGTCCATGTCCACGTCCACGTCCACGTCCACGTCCACGTCCACGTCCACGTCCATGTCCACGTCCACGTCCACGTCCACGTCCACGTCCACGTCCACGTCCACGTCCACGTCCACGTCCACGTCCACGTCCACGTCCACGTCCACGTCCACGTCCACGTCCATGTCCATGTCCACGTCCACGTCCACGTCCACGTCCACGTCCACGTCCACGTCCATGTCCACGTCCACGTCCACGTCCACGTCCACGTCCACGTCCACGTCCACGTCCACGTCCACGTCCACGTCCACGTCCATGTCCACGTCCACGTCCACGTCCACGTCCACGTCCACGTCCACGTCCACGTCCACGTCCACGTCCACGTCCACGTCCACGTCCACGTCCACGTCCACGTCCACGTCCACGTCCACGTCCACGTCCACGTCCACGTCCACGTCCACGTCCACGTCCACGTCCACGTCCACGTCCACGTCCACGTCCACGTCCACGTCCACGTCCACGTCCATGTCCACGTCCACGTCCACGTCCACGTCCACGTCCACGTCCACGTCCACGTCCACGTCCACGTCCACGTCCACGTCCACGTCCACGTCCACGTCCACGTCCACGTCCACGTCCACGTCCACGTCCACGTCCACGTCCACGTCCACGTCCACGTCCACGTCCACGTCCACGTCCACGTCCACGTCCACGTCCACGTCCACGTCCACGTCCACGTCCACGTCCATGTCCACGTCCACGTCCACGTCCACGTCCACGTCCACGTCCACGTCCACGTCCACGTCCACGTCCACGTCCACGTCCACGTCCACGTCCACGTCCACGTCCACGTCCACGTCCACGTCACGTCCACGTCCACGTCCACGTCCACGTCCACGTCCACGTCCACCACGTCCACGTCCACGTCCACGTCCACGTCCACGTCCACGTCCACGTCCACGTCCACGTCCACGTCCATGTCCACGTCCACGTCCACGTCCACGTCCACGTCCACGTCCACGTCCACGTCCACGTCCACGTCCACGTCCACGTCCACGTCCACGTCCACGTCCACGTCCACGTCCACGTCCACGTCCACGTCCACGTCCACGTCCACGTCCACGTCCACGTCCACGTCCATGTCCACGTCCACGTCCATGTCCACGTCCACGTCCACGTCCACGTCCACGTCCACGTCCACGTCCACGTCCACGTCCACGTCCACGTCCACGTCCATGTCCACGTCCACGTCCACGTCCACGTCCACGTCCACGTCCACGTCCACGTCCACGTCCACGTCCACGTCCACGTCCACGTCCACGTCCACGTCCACGTCCACGTCCATGTCCACGTCCACGTCCATGTCCACGTCCACGTCCACGTCCACGTCCACGTCCACGTCCACGTCCACGTCCACGTCCACGTCCACGTCCACGTCACGTCCACGTCCACGTCCACGTCCACGTCCACGTCCACGTCCACGTCCACGTCCACGTCCACGTCCACGTCCACGTCCACGTCCACGTCCACGTCCACGTCCACGTCCAGTCCACGTCCACGTCCACGTCCACGTCCACGTCCACGTCCACGTCCACGTCCACGTCCACGTCCACGTCCACGTCCACGTCCACGTCCATGTCCACGTCCACGTCCACGTCCACGTCCACGTCCACGTCCACGTCCACGTCCACGTCCACGTCCACGTCCACGTCCACGTCCACGTCCACGTCCACGTCCACGTCCACGTCCACGTCCACGTCCACGTCCACGTCCACGTCCACGTCCACGTCCACGTCCACGTCCACGTCCACGTCCACGTCCACGTCCACGTCCACGTCCACGTCCACGTCCACGTCCACGTCCACGTCCACGTCCACGTCCACGTCCACGTCCACGTCCACGTCCACGTCCACGTCCACGTCCACGTCCACGTCCACGTCCACGTCCACGTCCACGTCCACGTCCATGTCCACGTCCACGTCCACGTCCACGTCCACGTCCACGTCCACGTCCACGTCCACGTCCACGTCCACGTCCACGTCCACGTCCACGTCCACGTCCATGTCCACGTCCACGTCCACGTCCACGTCCACGTCCACGTCCACGTCCACGTCCACGTCCACGTCCACGTCCACGTCCATGTCCACGTCCACGTCCACGTCCACGTCCACGTCCACGTCCGTCCACGTCCACGTCCACGTCCACGTCCACGTCCATGTCCACGTCCACGTCCACGTCCACGTCCACGTCCACGTCCATGTCCACGTCCACGTCCACGTCCACGTCCACGTCCACGTCCACGTCCACGTCCACGTCCACGTCCACGTCCACGTCCACGTCCACGTCCACGTCCACGTCCACGTCCACGTCCACGTCCACGTCCACGTCCACGTCCACGTCCACGTCCACGTCCACGTCCACGTCCACGTCCACGTCCACGTCCACGTCCACGTCCACGTCCACGTCCACGTCCACGTCCACGTCCACGTCCACGTCCACGTCCACGTCCACGTCCACGTCCACGTCCACGTCCATGTCCACGTCCACGTCCATGTCCACGTCCACGTCCACGTCCACGTCCACGTCCACGTCCACGTCCACGTCCACGTCCACGTCCACGTCCACGTCCACGTCCACGTCCACGTCCACGTCCATGTCCACGTCCACGTCCACGTCCACGTCCACGTCCATGTCCACGTCCACGTCCACGTCCACGTCCATGTCCACGTCCACGTCCACGTCCACGTCCACGTCCACGTCCACGTCCACGTCCACGTCCACGTCCACGTCCACGTCCACGTCCACGTCCACGTCCACGTCCACGTCCACGTCCATGTCCACGTCCACGTCCACGTCCATGTCCACGTCCACGTCCACGTCCACGTCCACGTCCACGTCCACGTCCACGTCCACGTCCACGTCCACGTCCACGTCCACGTCCACGTCCACGTCCACGTCCACGTCCATGTCCACGTCCACGTCCACGTCCACGTCCACGTCCACGTCCACGTCCACGTCCACGTCCACGTCCACGTCCACGTCCATGTCCACGTCCACGTCCACGTCCACGTCCACGTCCACGTCCACGTCCACGTCCACGTCCACGTCCACGTCCACGTCCACGTCCACGTCCATGTCCACGTCCACGTCCACGTCCACGTCCACGTCCACGTCCACGTCCACGTCCACGTCCACGTCCACGTCCACGTCCATGTCCACGTCCACGTCCACGTCCACGTCCACGTCGTCCACGTCCACGTCCATGTCCACGTCCACGTCCATGTCCACGTCCACGTCCACGTCCACGTCCACGTCCACGTCCACGTCCACGTCCACGTCCACGTCCACGTCCACGTCCACGTCCACGTCCACGTCCACGTCCACGTCCACGTCCACGTCCACGTCCATGTCCACGTCCACGTCCACGTCCACGTCCACGTCCACGTCCACGTCCACGTCCATGTCCACGTCCACGTCCACGTCCACGTCCACGTCCACGTCCACGTCCACGTCCACGTCCACGTCCACGTCCACGTCCACGTCCACGTCCACGTCCACGTCCACGTCCACGTCCACGTCCACGTCCACGTCCACGTCCACGTCCACGTCCACGTCCACGTCCACGTCCACGTCCACGTCCACGTCCACGTCCACGTCCACGTCCACGTCCACGTCCATGTCCACGTCCACGTCCACGTCCACGTCCACGTCCACGTCCACGTCCACGTCCACGTCCACGTCCATGTCCACGTCCACGTCCACGTCCACGTCCACGTCCACGTCCACGTCCACGTCCACGTCCACGTCCACGTCCACGTCCACGTCCACGTCCACGTCCACGTCCACGTCCACGTCCACGTCCACGTCCACGTCCACGTCCACGTCCACGTCCACGTCCACGTCCACGTCCACGTCCACGTCCACGTCCACGTCCACGTCCATGTCCACGTCCACGTCCACGTCCACGTCCACGTCCATGTCCACGTCCACGTCCACGTCCACGTCCACGTCCACGTCCACGTCCACGTCCACGTCCACGTCCACGTCCACGTCCACGTCCACGTCCACGTCCATGTCCACGTCCACGTCCACGTCCACGTCCACGTCCACGTCCACGTCCACGTCCACGTCCACGTCCACGTCCACGTCCACGTCCACGTCCACGTCCATGTCCACGTCCACGTCCACGTCCACGTCCATGTCCACGTCCATGTCCACGTCCACGTCCACGTCCACGTCCACGTCCACGTCCACGTCCACGTCCACGTCCACGTCCACGTCCACGTCCACGTCCACGTCCACGTCCACGTCCACGTCCACGTCCATGTCCACGTCCACGTCCACGTCCACGTCCACGTCCACGTCCACGTCCACGTCCACGTCCACGTCCACGTCCACGTCCACGTCCACGTCCACGTCCACGTCCACGTCCACCCACGTCCACGTCCACGTCCACGTCCACGTCCACGTCCACGTCCATGTCCACGTCCACGTCCACGTCCACGTCCACGTCCACGTCCACGTCCACGTCCACGTCCACGTCCATGTCCACGTCCACGTCCACGTCCACGTCCACGTCCACGTCCACGTCCACGTCCACGTCCACGTCCACGTCCACGTCCACGTCCACGTCCACGTCCACGTCCACGTCCACGTCCACGTCCACGTCCACGTCCACGTCCACGTCCACGTCCACGTCCACGTCCACGTCCACGTCCACGTCCACGTCCACGTCCACGTCCACGTCCATGTCCACGTCCACGTCCACGTCCACGTCCATGTCCACGTCCACGTCCACGTCCACGTCCATGTCCACGTCCACGTCCACGTCCACGTCCACGTCCACGTCCACGTCCACGTCCACGTCCACGTCCACGTCCACGTCCACGTCCACGTCCACGTCCACGTCCACGTCCACGTCCACGTCCACGTCCACGTCCACGTCCACGTCCACGTCCACGTCCACGTCCACGTCCACGTCCACGTCCACGTCCACGTCCACGTCCACGTCCACGTCCACGTCCACGTCCACGTCCACGTCCACGTCCACGTCCACGTCCACGTCCACGTCCACGTCCACGTCCACGTCCACGTCCACGTCCACGTCCACGTCCACGTCCACGTCCACGTCCACGTCCACGTCCACGTCCACGTCCATGTCCACGTCCATGTCCACGTCCACGTCCACGTCCACGTCCACGTCCACGTCCACGTCCACGTCCACGTCCACGTCCACGTCCACGTCCACGTCCACGTCCACGTCCACGTCCACGTCCACGTCCACGTCCACGTCCACGTCCACGTCCACGTCCACGTCCACGTCCACGTCCACGTCCACGTCCACGTCCACGTCCACGTCCACGTCCACGTCCACGTCCACGTCCACGTCCACGTCCACGTCCACGTCCACGTCCACGTCCACGTCCACGTCCACGTCCACGTCCACGTCCACGTCCACGTCCACGTCCACGTCCACGTCCACGTCCATGTCCACGTCCACGTCCACGTCCACGTCCACGTCCACGTCCACGTCCACGTCCACGTCCATGTCCACGTCCACGTCCACGTCCATGTCCACGTCCACGTCCACGTCCACGTCCACGTCCACGTCCACGTCCACGTCCACGTCCACGTCCATGTCCACGTCCACGTCCACGTCCACGTCCACGTCCACGTCCATGTCCACGTCCACGTCCACGTCCACGTCCACGTCCACGTCCACGTCCACGTCCACGTCCACGTCCACGTCCACGTCCACGTCCACGTCCACGTCCACGTCCATGTCCACGTCCACGTCCACGTCCACGTCCACGTCCACGTCCACGTCCACGTCCACGTCCACGTCCACGTCCACGTCCACGTCCACGTCCACGTCCACGTCCACGTCCACGTCCACGTCCACGTCCACGTCCACGTCCATGTCCACGTCCATGTCCACGTCCACGTCCATGTCCACGTCCACGTCCACGTCCACGTCCACGTCCACGTCCACGTCCACGTCCACGTCCACGTCCACGTCCACGTCCACGTCCACGTCCACGTCCACGTCCACGTCCACGTCCACGTCCACGTCCATGTCCACGTCCACGTCCACGTCCACGTCCACGTCCATGTCCACGTCCACGTCCACGTCCACGTCCACGTCCACGTCCACGTCCACGTCCACGTCCACGTCCACGTCCACGTCCACGTCCACGTCCACGTCCACGTCCACGTCCACGTCCACGTCCACGTCCACGTCCACGTCCACGTCCACGTCCACGTCCACGTCCACGTCCACGTCCACGTCCACGTCCACGTCCACGTCCACGTCCACGTCCACGTCCACGTCCACGTCCACGTCCATGTCCACGTCCACGTCCACGTCCACGTCCACGTCCACGTCCACGTCCACGTCACGTCCACGTCCACGTCCACGTCCACGTCCACGTCCACGTCCACGTCCACGTCCACGTCCACGTCCACGTCCACGTCCACGTCCACGTCCACGTCCACGTCCACGTCCACGTCCACGTCCACGTCCACGTCCATGTCCACGTCCACGTCCACGTCCACGTCCACGTCCACGTCCACGTCCATGTCCACGTCCACGTCCACGTCCACGTCCACGTCCACGTCCACGTCCACGTCCACGTCCACGTCCACGTCCACGTCCACGTCCACGTCCACGTCCACGTCCACGTCCACGTCCACGTCCACGTCCACGTCCACGTCCACGTCCATGTCCACGTCCACGTCCATGTCCACGTCCACGTCCATGTCCACGTCCACGTCCACGTCCATGTCCACGTCCACGTCCACGTCCACGTCCACGTCCACGTCCACGTCCACGTCCACGTCCACGTCCACGTCCACGTCCACGTCCACGTCCACGTCCACGTCCACGTCCACGTCCACGTCCACGTCCACGTCCACGTCCACGTCCACGTCCACGTCCACGTCCACGTCCACGTCCACGTCCACGTCCACGTCCATGTCCACGTCCACGTCCACGTCCACGTCCACGTCCACGTCCACGTCCACGTCCACGTCCATGTCCACGTCCACGTCCACGTCCACGTCCACGTCCACGTCCACGTCCACGTCCACGTCCACGTCCACGTCCACGTCCACGTCCACGTCCACGTCCACGTCCACGTCCACGTCCACGTCCACGTCCACGTCCACGTCCACGTCCATGTCCACGTCCACGTCCACGTCCACGTCCACGTCCACGTCCACGTCCACGTCCACGTCCACGTCCATGTCCACGTCCACGTCCACGTCCACGTCCACGTCCACGTCCACGTCCATGTCCACGTCCACGTCCACGTCCACGTCCACGTCCACGTCCACGTCCACGTCCACGTCCACGTCCACGTCCACGTCCACGTCCATGTCCACGTCCACGTCCACGTCCACGTCCATGTCCACGTCCACGTCCACGTCCACGTCCACGTCCACGTCCACGTCCACGTCCACGTCCATGTCCACGTCCACGTCCACGTCCACGTCCACGTCCACGTCCACGTCCACGTCCACGTCCACGTCCACGTCCACGTCCACGTCCACGTCCACGTCCATGTCCACGTCCACGTCCATGTCCACGTCCACGTCCACGTCCACGTCCATGTCCACGTCCACGTCCACGTCCACGTCCATGTCCACGTCCACGTCCACGTCCACGTCCACGTCCACGTCCACGTCCACGTCCATGTCCACGTCCACGTCCACGTCCACGTCCACGTCCACGTCCACGTCCACGTCCACGTCCACGTCCACGTCCACGTCCACGTCCACGTCCACGTCCACGTCCACGTCCACGTCCACGTCCACGTCCACGTCCACGTCCACGTCCACGTCCACGTCCACGTCCACGTCCATGTCCACGTCCACGTCCACGTCCACGTCCACGTCCACGTCCACGTCCACGTCCACGTCCACGTCCACGTCCACGTCCACGTCCACGTCCATGTCCACGTCCACGTCCACGTCCACGTCCATGTCCACGTCCACGTCCATGTCCACGTCCACGTCCACGTCCACGTCCACGTCCACGTCCATGTCCACGTCCACGTCCACGTCCACGTCCACGTCCACGTCCACGTCCACGTCCACGTCCACGTCCACGTCCACGTCCACGTCCACGTCCACGTCCACGTCCACGTCCACGTCCACGTCCACGTCCACGTCCACGTCCACGTCCATGTCCACGTCCACGTCCACGTCCACGTCCATGTCCACGTCCACGTCCACGTCCACGTCCACGTCCACGTCCATGTCCACGTCCACGTCCACGTCCACGTCCACGTCCACGTCCACGTCCACGTCCACGTCCACGTCCACGTCCATGTCCACGTCCACGTCCACGTCCACGTCCACGTCCACGTCCACGTCCACGTCCATGTCCACGTCCATGTCCACGTCCACGTCCACGTCCACGTCCATGTCCACGTCCACGTCCACGTCCACGTCCACGTCCACGTCCACGTCCACGTCCACGTCCACGTCCACGTCCACGTCCACGTCCACGTCACGTCCATGTCCACGTCCACGTCCACGTCCACGTCCACGTCCACGTCCACGTCCACGTCCACGTCCACGTCCATGTCCACGTCCACGTCCACGTCCACGTCCACGTCCACGTCCACGTCCACGTCCACGTCCACGTCCACGTCCACGTCCACGTCCACGTCCACGTCCACGTCCACGTCCACGTCCACGTCCACGTCCACGTCCACGTCCACGTCCACGTCCACGTCCACGTCCACACGTCCACGTCCACGTCCACGTCCACGTCCATGTCCATGTCCACGTCCACGTCCACGTCCACGTCCACGTCCACGTCCACGTCCACGTCCACGTCCACGTCCACGTCCACGTCCACGTCCACGTCCACGTCCACGTCCACGTCCACGTCCACGTCCATGTCCACGTCCACGTCCACGTCCACGTCCACGTCCACGTCCACGTCCACGTCCACGTCCACGTCCACGTCCACGTCCACGTCCACGTCCATGTCCACGTCCACGTCCACGTCCACGTCCATGTCCACGTCCACGTCCACGTCCACGTCCACGTCCACGTCCACGTCCACGTCCATGTCCACGTCCACGTCCACGTCCACGTCCACGTCCACGTCCACGTCCACGTCCACGTCCACGTCCACGTCCACGTCCACGTCCACGTCCACGTCCACGTCCACGTCCATGTCCACGTCCACGTCCATGTCCACGTCCACGTCCATGTCCACGTCCACGTCCACGTCCACGTCCACGTCCACGTCCACGTCCACGTCCACGTCCACGTCCACGTCCACGTCCACGTCCACGTCCACGTCCACGTCCACGTCCACGTCCACGTCCACGTCCACGTCCACGTCCACGTCCACGTCCACGTCCACGTCCACGTCCACGTCCACGTCCACGTCCACGTCCACGTCCACGTCCACGTCCACGTCCACGTCCACGTCCACGTCCACGTCCACGTCCACGTCCACGTCCACGTCCACGTCCATGTCCACGTCCACGTCCACGTCCACGTCCACGTCCACGTCCACGTCCACGTCCACGTCCACGTCCACGTCCACGTCCACGTCCACGTCCACGTCCATGTCCACGTCCACGTCCACGTCCACGTCCACGTCCACGTCCACGTCCATGTCCACGTCCACGTCCACGTCCACGTCCACGTCCACGTCCACGTCCACGTCCACGTCCATGTCCACGTCCATGTCCACGTCCATGTCCACGTCCACGTCCACGTCCATGTCCACGTCCACGTCCACGTCCACGTCCACGTCCACGTCCACGTCCACGTCCACGTCCACGTCCACGTCCACGTCCACGTCCATGTCCATGTCCACGTCCACGTCCACGTCCATGTCCACGTCCACGTCCATGTCCACGTCCACGTCCACGTCCACGTCCACGTCCACGTCCATGTCCACGTCCACGTCCACGTCCACGTCCACGTCCACGTCCACGTCCACGTCCACGTCCACGTCCACGTCCACGTCCACGTCCACGTCCATGTCCACGTCCACGTCCATGTCCACGTCCACGTCCACGTCCACGTCCATGTCCACGTCCACGTCCACGTCCACGTCCATGTCCACGTCCACGTCCACGTCCATGTCCACGTCCACGTCCACGTCCACGTCCACGTCCATGTCCACGTCCACGTCCACGTCCACGTCCACGTCCACGTCCACGTCCACGTCCATGTCCACGTCCACGTCCACGTCCACGTCCACGTCCACGTCCACGTCCACGTCCACGTCCACGTCCATGTCCACGTCCATGTCCACGTCCATGTCCACGTCCACGTCCATGTCCACGTCCACGTCCACGTCCACGTCCACGTCCACGTCCACGTCCACGTCCACGTCCACGTCCACGTCCACGTCCACGTCCACGTCCACGTCCATGTCCATGTCCACGTCCACGTCCACGTCCATGTCCACGTCCACGTCCATGTCCACGTCCACGTCCATGTCCACGTCCACGTCCACGTCCACGTCCACGTCCACGTCCACGTCCACGTCCACGTCCACGTCCACGTCCACGTCCACGTCCACGTCCACGTCCACGTCCACGTCCACGTCCACGTCCACGTCCACGTCCACGTCCACGTCCACGTCCACGTCCACGTCCATGTCCACGTCCACGTCCACGTCCACGTCCATGTCCACGTCCACGTCCACGTCCACGTCCACGTCCATGTCCACGTCCACGTCCACGTCCACGTCCACGTCCACGTCCACGTCCACGTCCACGTCCACGTCCACGTCCACGTCCACGTCCACGTCCACGTCCACGTCCATGTCCACGTCCACGTCCAGTCCACGTCCACGTCCACGTCCACGTCCACGTCCACGTCCACGTCCACGTCCACGTCCATGTCCACGTCCACGTCCACGTCCACGTCCATGTCCACGTCCACGTCCATGTCCACGTCCACGTCCACGTCCACGTCCACGTCCACGTCCACGTCCACGTCCACGTCCACGTCCACGTCCACGTCCACGTCCACGTCCACGTCCACGTCCACGTCCACGTCCACGTCCACGTCCACGTCCACGTCCACGTCCACGTCCACGTCCACGTCCACGTCCACGTCCACGTCCACGTCCATGTCCACGTCCACGTCCACGTCCACGTCCACGTCCACGTCCACGTCCACGTCCACGTCCACGTCCACGTCCACGTCCACGTCCACGTCCACGTCCACGTCCACGTCCACGTCCACGTCCACGTCCACGTCCACGTCCACGTCCACGTCCACGTCCACGTCCACGTCCACGTCCACGTCCACGTCCACGTCCATGTCCACGTCCACGTCCACGTCCACGTCCACGTCCACGTCCACGTCCACGTCCACGTCCACGTCCATGTCCACGTCACGTCCACGTCCACGTCCATGTCCACGTCCACGTCCACGTCCACGTCCACGTCCACGTCCATGTCCACGTCCACGTCCACGTCCACGTCCACGTCCACGTCCATGTCCACGTCCATGTCCACGTCCACGTCCACGTCCACGTCCACGTCCACGTCCACGTCCACGTCCACGTCCACGTCCACGTCCACGTCCACGTCCACGTCCACGTCCACGTCCACGTCCACGTCCACGTCCACGTCCACGTCCATGTCCACGTCCACGTCCACGTCCATGTCCACGTCCACGTCCACGTCCACGTCCACGTCCACGTCCACGTCCACGTCCACGTCCATGTCCACGTCCACGTCCACGTCCACGTCCATGTCCACGTCCATGTCCACGTCCACGTCCACGTCCACGTCCACGTCCACGTCCACGTCCACGTCCACGTCCACGTCCACGTCCACGTCCACGTCCACGTCCACGTCCACGTCCACGTCCATGTCCACGTCCACGTCCATGTCCACGTCCACGTCCACGTCCACGTCCACGTCCATGTCCATGTCCACGTCCACGTCCACGTCCATGTCCACGTCCACGTCCACGTCCACGTCCACGTCCACGTCCACGTCCACGTCCATGTCCACGTCCATGTCCACGTCCACGTCCACGTCCACGTCCACGTCCACGTCCATGTCCACGTCCACGTCCACGTCCATGTCCACGTCCACGTCCACGTCCACGTCCACGTCCATGTCCACGTCCACGTCCACGTCCACGTCCACGTCCATGTCCATGTCCACGTCCATGTCCACGTCCACGTCCACGTCCATGTCCACGTCCACGTCCACGTCCACGTCCACGTCCACGTCCACGTCCATGTCCACGTCCACGTCCATGTCCACGTCCACGTCCACGTCCACGTCCACGTCCACGTCCACGTCCACGTCCACGTCCACGTCCACGTCCACGTCCACGTCCATGTCCACGTCCACGTCCACGTCCATGTCCACGTCCATGTCCACGTCCACGTCCATGTCCACGTCCACGTCCATGTCCACGTCCACGTCCACGTCCACGTCCACGTCCACGTCCACGTCCACGTCCACGTCCACGTCCACGTCCACGTCCACGTCCACGTCCACGTCCACGTCCACGTCCACGTCCACGTCCATGTCCACGTCCATGTCCACGTCCACGTCCACGTCCACGTCCACGTCCACGTCCACGTCCACGTCCACGTCCACGTCCACGTCCACGTCCATGTCCACGTCCACGTCCACGTCCACGTCCACGTCCACGTCCACGTCCACGTCCACGTCCACGTCCATGTCCACGTCCACGTCCACGTCCACGTCCACGTCCACGTCCACGTCCACGTCCACGTCCACGTCCACGTCCACGTCCACGTCCACGTCCACGTCCACGTCCATGTCCACGTCCACGTCCACGTCCACGTCCACGTCCACGTCCACGTCCACGTCCACGTCCACGTCCACGTCCACGTCCACGTCCACGTCCATGTCCACGTCCACGTCCACGTCCACGTCCACGTCCACGTCCACGTCCACGTCCATGTCCACGTCCACGTCCACGTCCACGTCCACGTCCACGTCCACGTCCACGTCCACGTCCACGTCCACGTCCACGTCCACGTCCACGTCCACGTCCACGTCCACGTCCACGTCCACGTCCACGTCCACGTCCACGTCCACGTCCACGTCCACGTCCACGTCCACGTCCACGTCCATGTCCACGTCCACGTCCACGTCCACGTCCACGTCCACGTCCACGTCCACGTCCACGTCCACGTCCACGTCCACGTCCACGTCCACGTCCACGTCCACGTCCACGTCCACGTCCACGTCCACGTCCACGTCCACGTCCACGTCCACGTCCACGTCCACGTCCACGTCCACGTCCACGTCCACGTCCACGTCCACGTCCACGTCCACGTCCACGTCCACGTCCACGTCCACGTCCACGTCCACGTCCATGTCCACGTCCACGTCCACGTCCACGTCCACGTCCACGTCCACGTCCACGTCCACGTCCACGTCCACGTCCATGTCCACGTCCATGTCCACGTCCACGTCCACGTCCATGTCCACGTCCACGTCCACGTCCATGTCCACGTCCACGTCCACGTCCACGTCCACGTCCACGTCCATGTCCACGTCCATGTCCACGTCCACGTCCACGTCCACGTCCACGTCCACGTCCACGTCCACGTCCACGTCCACGTCCACGTCCACGTCCACGTCCACGTCCACGTCCACGTCCACGTCCACGTCCACGTCCACGTCCACGTCCACGTCCACGTCCACGTCCATGTCCACGTCCACGTCCACGTCCACGTCCACGTCCACGTCCACGTCCACGTCCACGTCCATGTCCACGTCCACGTCCACGTCCACGTCCACGTCCACGTCCATGTCCACGTCCACGTCCACGTCCACGTCCACGTCCACGTCCACGTCCACGTCCACGTCCACGTCCACGTCCACGTCCACGTCCACGTCCACGTCCACGTCCACGTCCACGTCCACGTCCACGTCCACGTCCACGTCCACGTCCACGTCCACGTCCACGTCCACGTCCACGTCCACGTCCACGTCCACGTCCACGTCCACGTCCACGTCCACGTCCACGTCCACGTCCACGTCCACGTCCACGTCCACGTCCACGTCCACGTCCACGTCCACGTCCACGTCCACGTCCACGTCCACGTCCACGTCCACGTCCACGTCCACGTCCACGTCCACGTCCGTCCACGTCCACGTCCACGTCCACGTCCACGTCCACGTCCACGTCCACGTCCACGTCCACGTCCACGTCCACGTCCACGTCCACGTCCACGTCCACGTCCACGTCCACGTCCATGTCCACGTCCACGTCCACGTCCACGTCCACGTCCACGTCCACGTCCATGTCCACGTCCACGTCCACGTCCATGTCCACGTCCACGTCCACGTCCACGTCCACGTCCACGTCCACGTCCACGTCCACGTCCACGTCCACGTCCACGTCCACGTCCACGTCCACGTCCACGTCCACGTCCACGTCCACGTCCACGTCCACGTCCACGTCCACGTCCACGTCCACGTCCACGTCCACGTCCACGTCCACGTCCACGTCCACGTCCACGTCCACGTCCACGTCCACGTCCATGTCCACGTCCACGTCCACGTCCACGTCCACGTCCACGTCCATGTCCACGTCCACGTCCACGTCCACGTCCACGTCCACGTCCACGTCCACGTCCACGTCCACGTCCACGTCCACGTCCACGTCCACGTCCACGTCCACGTCCACGTCCACGTCCACGTCCACGTCCACGTCCACGTCCACGTCCACGTCCACGTCCACGTCCACGTCCACGTCCACGTCCACGTCCATGTCCACGTCCACGTCCACGTCCACGTCCACGTCCACGTCCACGTCCACGTCCACGTCCACGTCCACGTCCACGTCCACGTCCACGTCCACGTCCACGTCCACGTCCACGTCCACGTCCACGTCCACGTCCACGTCCACGTCCACGTCCACGTCCACGTCCACGTCCACGTCCATGTCCACGTCCACGTCCACGTCCACGTCCACGTCCACGTCCACGTCCACGTCCACGTCCATGTCCACGTCCACGTCCACGTCCACGTCCACGTCCACGTCCACGTCCACGTCCACGTCCACGTCCACGTCCACGTCCATGTCCACGTCCACGTCCACGTCCACGTCCACGTCCACGTCCACGTCCACGTCCACGTCCACGTCCACGTCCACGTCCACGTCCACGTCCACGTCCACGTCCACGTCCACGTCCACGTCCACGTCCACGTCCACGTCCACGTCCACGTCCACGTCCACGTCCACGTCCACGTCCATGTCCACGTCCACGTCCACGTCCACGTCCACGTCCACGTCCACGTCCATGTCCACGTCCACGTCCACGTCCACGTCCACGTCCACGTCCACGTCCACGTCCACGTCCACGTCCACGTCCACGTCCACGTCCACGTCCACGTCCACGTCCACGTCCACGTCCACGTCCACGTCCACGTCCACGTCCACGTCCACGTCCACGTCCACGTCCACGTCCACGTCCACGTCCACGTCCACGTCCACGTCCACGTCCACGTCCATGTCCACGTCCACGTCCACGTCCACGTCCACGTCCACGTCCACGTCCACGTCCACGTCCACGTCCATGTCCACGTCCACGTCCACGTCCACGTCCACGTCCACGTCCACGTCCACGTCCACGTCCACGTCCACGTCCACGTCCACGTCCACGTCCACGTCCACGTCCACGTCCACGTCCACGTCCATGTCCACGTCCACGTCCACGTCCACGTCCACGTCCACGTCCACGTCCACGTCCACGTCCACGTCCACGTCCACGTCCACGTCCACGTCCACGTCCACGTCCACGTCCACGTCCACGTCCACGTCCACGTCCACGTCCACGTCCACGTCCACGTCCACGTCCACGTCCACGTCCACGTCCACGTCCACGTCCACGTCCACGTCCACGTCCACGTCCACGTCCACGTCCACGTCCACGTCCACGTCCACGTCCACGTCCATGTCCACGTCCACGTCCACGTCCACGTCCACGTCCACGTCCACGTCCACGTCCACGTCCACGTCCACGTCCACGTCCACGTCCACGTCCACGTCCACGTCCACGTCCACGTCCACGTCCACGTCCACGTCCACGTCCACGTCCACGTCCACGTCCACGTCCACGTCCACGTCCACGTCCACGTCCACGTCCACGTCCACGTCCACGTCCACGTCCACGTCCACGTCCACGTCCACGTCCACGTCCACGTCCACGTCCATGTCCACGTCCACGTCCACGTCCATGTCCACGTCCACGTCCACGTCCACGTCCACGTCCACGTCCACGTCCACGTCCACGTCCACGTCCACGTCCATGTCCACGTCCATGTCCACGTCCACGTCCACGTCCATGTCCACGTCCACGTCCACGTCCATGTCCACGTCCACGTCCACGTCCACGTCCACGTCCATGTCCACGTCCATGTCCACGTCCATGTCCACGTCCACGTCCATGTCCACGTCCACGTCCACGTCCACGTCCACGTCCACGTCCACGTCCACGTCCACGTCCACGTCCACGTCCACGTCCACGTCCACGTCCATGTCCACGTCCACGTCCACGTCCACGTCCATGTCCACGTCCACGTCCACGTCCACGTCCACGTCCACGTCCACGTCCACGTCCACGTCCACGTCCACGTCCACGTCCACGTCCACGTCCATGTCCACGTCCATGTCCACGTCCACGTCCACGTCCACGTCCACGTCCACGTCCACGTCCACGTCCACGTCCACGTCCACGTCCACGTCCATGTCCACGTCCACGTCCACGTCCACGTCCACGTCCATGTCCACGTCCATGTCCACGTCCACGTCCACGTCCATGTCCACGTCCACGTCCACGTCCACGTCCACGTCCACGTCCATGTCCACGTCCACGTCCACGTCCACGTCCACGTCCACGTCCACGTCCACGTCCACGTCCACGTCCACGTCCACGTCCACGTCCACGTCCACGTCCACGTCCATGTCCACGTCCACGTCCACGTCCATGTCCACGTCCATGTCCACGTCCACGTCCACGTCCACGTCCACGTCCATGTCCACGTCCACGTCCACGTCCACGTCCACGTCCACGTCCACGTCCACGTCCACGTCCACGTCCACGTCCACGTCCACGTCCACGTCCACGTCCACGTCCACGTCCACGTCCACGTCCATGTCCACGTCCATGTCCACGTCCACGTCCACGTCCACGTCCACGTCCACGTCCACGTCCACGTCCATGTCCATGTCCACGTCCACGTCCATGTCCACGTCCACGTCCACGTCCACGTCCACGTCCATGTCCACGTCCACGTCCACGTCCACGTCCACGTCCACGTCCACGTCCACGTCCACGTCCACGTCCACGTCCACGTCCACGTCCACGTCCACGTCCACGTCCACGTCCACGTCCACGTCCACGTCCACGTCCACGTCCACGTCCACGTCCACGTCCACGTCCACGTCCACGTCCACGTCCACGTCCACGTCCACGTCCACGTCCACGTCCACGTCCACGTCCACGTCCACGTCCACGTCCACGTCCACGTCCACGTCCACGTCCACGTCCACGTCCACGTCCACGTCCACGTCCACGTCCACGTCCACGTCCACGTCCACGTCCACGTCCACGTCCACGTCCACGTCCACGTCCACGTCCACGTCCACGTCCACGTCCACGTCCACGTCCACGTCCACGTCCACGTCCACGTCCACGTCCACGTCCACGTCCACGTCCACGTCCACGTCCACGTCCACGTCCACGTCCATGTCCACGTCCACGTCCACGTCCATGTCCACGTCCACGTCCACGTCCACGTCCACGTCCACGTCCACGTCCACGTCCACGTCCACGTCCACGTCCACGTCCACGTCCACGTCCATGTCCACGTCCATGTCCACGTCCACGTCCACGTCCACGTCCATGTCCACGTCCACGTCCACGTCCACGTCCACGTCCACGTCCACGTCCATGTCCACGTCCATGTCCACGTCCATGTCCACGTCCACGTCCACGTCCATGTCCACGTCCACGTCCACGTCCACGTCCACGTCCACGTCCACGTCCACGTCCACGTCCACGTCCACGTCCACGTCCACGTCCATGTCCACGTCCACGTCCACGTCCACGTCCATGTCCACGTCCACGTCCACGTCCACGTCCACGTCCACGTCCACGTCCACGTCCACGTCCATGTCCACGTCCACGTCCACGTCCACGTCCATGTCCACGTCCACGTCCACGTCCACGTCCACGTCCACGTCCACGTCCACGTCCACGTCCACGTCCACGTCCACGTCCACGTCCACGTCCATGTCCACGTCCACGTCCACGTCCACGTCCATGTCCACGTCCACGTCCATGTCCACGTCCACGTCCATGTCCACGTCCACGTCCACGTCCACGTCCACGTCCACGTCCATGTCCACGTCCACGTCCATGTCCACGTCCACGTCCACGTCCACGTCCACGTCCACGTCCACGTCCACGTCCACGTCCACGTCCACGTCCACGTCCACGTCCATGTCCACGTCCACGTCCACGTCCATGTCCACGTCCATGTCCACGTCCACGTCCATGTCCACGTCCACGTCCATGTCCACGTCCACGTCCACGTCCACGTCCACGTCCACGTCCACGTCCACGTCCACGTCCACGTCCACGTCCACGTCCACGTCCACGTCCACGTCCACGTCCACGTCCACGTCCACGTCCATGTCCACGTCCACGTCCACGTCCACGTCCACGTCCACGTCCACGTCCACGTCCACGTCCACGTCCACGTCCATGTCCATGTCCACGTCCACGTCCATGTCCATGTCCACGTCCACGTCCATGTCCACGTCCACGTCCACGTCCACGTCCACGTCCATGTCCACGTCCACGTCCACGTCCATGTCCATGTCCACGTCCACGTCCACGTCCACGTCCACGTCCACGTCCACGTCCACGTCCACGTCCACGTCCACGTCCACGTCCACGTCCACGTCCACGTCCACGTCCACGTCCACGTCCACGTCCACGTCCATGTCCACGTCCATGTCCACGTCCACGTCCACGTCCACGTCCACGTCCACGTCCACGTCCACGTCCACGTCCACGTCCACGTCCACGTCCACGTCCATGTCCACGTCCACGTCCACGTCCACGTCCACGTCCATGTCCACGTCCACGTCCATGTCCACGTCCACGTCCATGTCCACGTCCACGTCCATGTCCACGTCCACGTCCACGTCCACGTCCACGTCCACGTCCACGTCCACGTCCACGTCCACGTCCACGTCCACGTCCATGTCCACGTCCATGTCCACGTCCACGTCCATGTCCACGTCCACGTCCATGTCCACGTCCACGTCCACGTCCACGTCCACGTCCACGTCCACGTCCACGTCCACGTCCACGTCCACGTCCACGTCCACGTCCACGTCCACGTCCACGTCCACGTCCACGTCCACGTCCACGTCCACGTCCACGTCCACGTCCACGTCCACGTCCACGTCCACGTCCACGTCCACGTCCACGTCCACGTCCACGTCCACGTCCACGTCCACGTCCATGTCCACGTCCACGTCCACGTCCATGTCCACGTCCACGTCCACGTCCACGTCCACGTCCACGTCCACGTCCATGTCCACGTCCATGTCCACGTCCACGTCCACGTCCACGTCCATGTCCATGTCCACGTCCACGTCCACGTCCATGTCCACGTCCACGTCCACGTCCACGTCCATGTCCACGTCCACGTCCACGTCCATGTCCACGTCCACGTCCACGTCCACGTCCATGTCCACGTCCATGTCCACGTCCACGTCCACGTCCACGTCCACGTCCACGTCCATGTCCACGTCCACGTCCACGTCCATGTCCACGTCCACGTCCACGTCCACGTCCACGTCCACGTCCATGTCCACGTCCACGTCCACGTCCACGTCCACGTCCATGTCCATGTCCACGTCCATGTCCACGTCCACGTCCATGTCCACGTCCACGTCCACGTCCACGTCCACGTCCACGTCCACGTCCATGTCCACGTCCACGTCCATGTCCACGTCCACGTCCACGTCCACGTCCACGTCCACGTCCACGTCCACGTCCACGTCCACGTCCACGTCCACGTCCACGTCCATGTCCACGTCCACGTCCACGTCCATGTCCACGTCCATGTCCACGTCCACGTCCATGTCCACGTCCACGTCCATGTCCACGTCCACGTCCACGTCCACGTCCACGTCCACGTCCACGTCCACGTCCACGTCCACGTCCACGTCCACGTCCACGTCCACGTCCACGTCCACGTCCACGTCCACGTCCACGTCCACGTCCACGTCCACGTCCACGTCCATGTCCACGTCCACGTCCACGTCCACGTCCACGTCCACGTCCATGTCCACGTCCACGTCCACGTCCATGTCCACGTCCACGTCCACGTCCATGTCCACGTCCACGTCCACGTCCACGTCCACGTCCATGTCCACGTCCACGTCCACGTCCACGTCCACGTCCACGTCCACGTCCACGTCCACGTCCACGTCCACGTCCACGTCCATGTCCACGTCCACGTCCACGTCCACGTCCACGTCCACGTCCACGTCCACGTCCACGTCCACGTCCACGTCCACGTCCACGTCCACGTCCACGTCCACGTCCACGTCCACGTCCATGTCCACGTCCATGTCCACGTCCACGTCCACGTCCACGTCCACGTCCACGTCCACGTCCACGTCCACGTCCACGTCCACGTCCATGTCCACGTCCATGTCCACGTCCACGTCCACGTCCACGTCCACGTCCACGTCCACGTCCACGTCCATGTCCACGTCCACGTCCATGTCCACGTCCACGTCCACGTCCACGTCCATGTCCACGTCCATGTCCACGTCCACGTCCACGTCCACGTCCACGTCCACGTCCACGTCCACGTCCACGTCCACGTCCACGTCCATGTCCACGTCCACGTCCACGTCCACGTCCACGTCCACGTCCATGTCCACGTCCACGTCCACGTCCATGTCCACGTCCACGTCCACGTCCACGTCCACTTCCACGTCCACGTCCACGTCCATGTCCACGTCCACGTCCACGTCCACGTCCACGTCCATGTCCACGTCCACGTCCACGTCCACGTCCACGTCCACGTCCACGTCCACGTCCACGTCCACGTCCATGTCCACGTCCACGTCCACGTCCATGTCCACGTCCACGTCCACGTCCACGTCCACGTCCACGTCCACGTCCACGTCCACGTCCACGTCCATGTCCACGTCCACGTCCACGTCCACGTCCACGTCCACGTCCATGTCCACGTCCACGTCCACGTCCACGTCCATGTCCACGTCCACGTCCACGTCCACGTCCACGTCCACGTCCACGTCCACGTCCACGTCCACGTCCACGTCCACGTCCACGTCCACGTCCACGTCCATGTCCACGTCCATGTCCACGTCCAGTCCACGTCCATGTCCACGTCCACGTCCACGTCCACGTCCATGTCCACGTCCACGTCCACGTCCACGTCCATGTCCACGTCCATGTCCATGTCCACGTCCATGTCCACGTCCACGTCCACGTCCACGTCCATGTCCACGTCCACGTCCACGTCCACGTCCACGTCCACGTCCACGTCCACGTCCACGTCCACGTCCATGTCCACGTCCATGTCCACGTCCATGTCCACGTCCATGTCCACGTCCACGTCCACGTCCATGTCCACGTCCACGTCCACGTCCACGTCCACGTCCACGTCCACGTCCACGTCCACGTCCACGTCCACGTCCACGTCCACGTCCACGTCCACGTCCACGTCCACGTCCACGTCCATGTCCACGTCCATGTCCACGTCCACGTCCACGTCCATGTCCACGTCCACGTCCACGTCCATGTCCACGTCCATGTCCACGTCCATGTCCACGTCCACGTCCACGTCCACGTCCACGTCCACGTCCATGTCCACGTCCACGTCCACGTCCACGTCCAAGTCCACGTCCACGTCCACGTCCACGTCCACGTCCACGTCCACGTCCACGTCCATGTCCACGTCCACGTCCACGTCCACGTCCACGTCCACGTCCACGTCCACGTCCACGTCCACGTCCACGTCCACGTCCACGTCCACGTCCACGTCCACGTCCATGTCCACGTCCACGTCCACGTCCACGTCCACGTCCATGTCCACGTCCACGTCCACGTCCACGTCCATGTCCACGTCCACGTCCATGTCCACGTCCATGTCCACGTCCATGTCCACGTCCACGTCCACGTCCACGTCCACGTCCATGTCCACGTCCACGTCCACGTCCACGTCCACGTCCACGTCCACGTCCACGTCCACGTCCACGTCCACGTCCATGTCCACGTCCATGTCCACGTCCACGTCCATGTCCACGTCCATGTCCACGTCCATGTCCACGTCCACGTCCACGTCCACGTCCACGTCCACGTCCACGTCCACGTCCATGTCCACGTCCACGTCCACGTCCATGTCCACGTCCATGTCCACGTCCACGTCCATGTCCACGTCCACGTCCACGTCCATGTCCACGTCCACGTCCATGTCCACGTCCACGTCCATGTCCACGTCCACGTCCACGTCCACGTCCACGTCCACGTCCACGTCCACGTCCACGTCCACGTCCACGTCCACGTCCACGTCCACGTCCACGTCCACGTCCACGTCCACGTCCACGTCCACGTCCACGTCCACGTCCATGTCCACGTCCACGTCCACGTCCACGTCCACGTCCACGTCCACGTCCACGTCCACGTCCACGTCCACGTCCACGTCCACGTCCACGTCCACGTCCATGTCCACGTCCACGTCCACGTCCATGTCCACGTCCATGTCCACGTCCACGTCCACGTCCACGTCCACGTCCATGTCCACGTCCACGTCCATGTCCACGTCCATGTCCACGTCCACGTCCACGTCCACGTCCACGTCCACGTCCACGTCCACGTCCACGTCCACGTCCACGTCCACGTCCATGTCCACGTCCATGTCCACGTCCACGTCCACGTCCACGTCCACGTCCACGTCCACGTCCACGTCCACGTCCATGTCCACGTCCACGTCCATGTCCACGTCCACGTCCATGTCCACGTCCACGTCCACGTCCACGTCCACGTCCACGTCCACGTCCACGTCCACGTCCACGTCCATGTCCACGTCCACGTCCACGTCCACGTCCACGTCCACGTCCACGTCCACGTCCACGTCCACGTCCACGTCCACGTCCACGTCCACGTCCACGTCCACGTCCATGTCCACGTCCACGTCCACGTCCACGTCCACGTCCACGTCCACGTCCACGTCCACGTCCATGTCCACGTCCACGTCCACGTCCATGTCCATGTCCACGTCCACGTCCATGTCCACGTCCACGTCCACGTCCACGTCCATGTCCACGTCCACGTCCACGTCCATGTCCATGTCCACGTCCACGTCCACGTCCACGTCCACGTCCACGTCCATGTCCACGTCCACGTCCACGTCCACGTCCACGTCCACGTCCACGTCCACGTCCACGTCCACGTCCACGTCCACGTCCACGTCCACGTCCACGTCCATGTCCACGTCCATGTCCACGTCCACGTCCACGTCCACGTCCACGTCCACGTCCACGTCCACGTCCACGTCCACGTCCACGTCCACGTCCACGTCCATGTCCACGTCCACGTCCACGTCCACGTCCACGTCCACGTCCACGTCCATGTCCACGTCCACGTCCATGTCCACGTCCACGTCCAAGTCCACGTCCATGTCCACGTCCATGTCCACGTCCACGTCCACGTCCACGTCCACGTCCACGTCCACGTCCACGTCCACGTCCACGTCCACGTCCATGTCCACGTCCACGTCCACGTCCATGTCCATGTCCACGTCCACGTCCACGTCCATTCCACGTCCACGTCCACGTCCATGTCCACGTCCACGTCCACGTCCACGTCCACGTCCATGTCCACGTCCACGTCCACGTCCACGTCCACGTCCACGTCCACGTCCACGTCCACGTCCACGTCCATGTCCACGTCCACGTCCACGTCCATGTCCACGTCCACGTCCACGTCCACGTCCACGTCCACGTCCACGTCCACGTCCATGTCCATGTCCACGTCCATGTCCACGTCCACGTCCACGTCCACGTCCACGTCCACGTCCATGTCCATGTCCACGTCCACGTCCACGTCCATGTCCACGTCCACGTCCACGTCCACGTCCACGTCCACGTCCACGTCCACGTCCACGTCCACGTCCACGTCCACGTCCACGTCCACGTCCACGTCCATGTCCACGTCCATGTCCACGTCCATGTCCACGTCCATGTCCACGTCCACGTCCATGTCCACGTCCATGTCCACGTCCACGTCCACGTCCACGTCCATGTCCACGTCCATGTCCATGTCCACGTCCATGTCCACGTCCACGTCCACGTCCACGTCCATGTCCACGTCCACGTCCACGTCCACGTCCACGTCCACGTCCACGTCCACGTCCACGTCCACGTCCACGTCCATGTCCACGTCCATGTCCACGTCCATGTCCACGTCCACGTCCACGTCCATGTCCACGTCCACGTCCACGTCCACGTCCACGTCCACGTCCACGTCCACGTCCACGTCCACGTCCACGTCCACGTCCACGTCCACGTCCACGTCCACGTCCACGTCCACGTCCATGTCCACGTCCATGTCCACGTCCACGTCCACGTCCATGTCCACGTCCACGTCCACGTCCATGTCCACGTCCACGTCCACGTCCACGTCCACGTCCATGTCCACGTCCACGTCCACGTCCACGTCCACGTCCACGTCCACGTCCACGTCCACGTCCATGTCCACGTCCATGTCCACGTCCACGTCCACGTCCACGTCCATGTCCACGTCCATGTCCACGTCCACGTCCACGTCCACGTCCACGTCCACGTCCACGTCCACGTCCACGTCCACGTCCACGTCCACGTCCATGTCCACGTCCACGTCCACGTCCACGTCCATGTCCACGTCCACGTCCATGTCCACGTCCACGTCCACGTCCACGTCCATGTCCACGTCCACGTCCACGTCCACGTCCACGTCCACGTCCACGTCCACGTCCACGTCCACGTCCACGTCCACGTCCACGTCCACGTCCATGTCCACGTCCACGTCCACGTCCACGTCCATGTCCACGTCCACGTCCATGTCCACGTCCATGTCCACGTCCACGTCCACGTCCACGTCCATGTCCACGTCCACGTCCACGTCCACGTCCACGTCCACGTCCACGTCCATGTCCACGTCCACGTCCACGTCCACGTCCACGTCCACGTCCACGTCCACGTCCACGTCCACGTCCATGTCCACGTCCACGTCCACGTCCACGTCCATGTCCACGTCCATGTCCACGTCCATGTCCACGTCCACGTCCACGTCCACGTCCACGTCCACGTCCACGTCCACGTCCATGTCCACGTCCACGTCCACGTCCATGTCCACGTCCACGTCCATGTCCACGTCCGTGTCCACGTCCACGTCCATGTCCACGTCCACGTCCACGTCCATGTCCACGTCCACGTCCATGTCCACGTCCACGTCCACGTCCACGTCCACGTCCACGTCCACGTCCACGTCCACGTCCACGTCCACGTCCACGTCCACGTCCACGTCCATGTCCACGTCCACGTCCACGTCCATGTCCACGTCCACGTCCACGTCCATGTCCACGTCCATGTCCACGTCCATGTCCACGTCCATGTCCACGTCCATGTCCACGTCCACGTCCACGTCCATGTCCACGTCCACGTCCACGTCCACGTCCATGTCCACGTCCATGTCCACGTCCATGTCCACGTCCATGTCCACGTCCACGTCCACGTCCATGTCCACGTCCATGTCCACGTCCACGTCCATGTCCACGTCCATGTCCACGTCCATGTCCACGTCCACGTCCACGTCCACGTCCACGTCCACGTCCATGTCCACGTCCACGTCCATGTCCACGTCCACGTCCACGTCCACGTCCACGTCCACGTCCACGTCCCGTGTCCACGTCCACGTCCATGTCCACGTCCACGTCCATGTCCACGTCCACGTCCATGTCCACGTCCACGTCCATGTCCACGTCCACGTCCACGTCCACGTCCACGTCCACGTCCACGTCCACGTCCACGTCCACGTCCACGTCCATGTCCACGTCCACGTCCACGTCCATGTCCACGTCCACGTCCACGTCCATTCCACGTCCACGTCCACGTCCACGTCCACGTCCACGTCCATGTCCACGTCCACGTCCACGTCCACGTCCACGTCACGTCCACGTCCACGTCCACGTCCACGTCCATGTCCACGTCCACGTCCACGTCCATGTCCACGTCCATGTCCACGTCCACGTCCACGTCCATGTCCACGTCCACGTCCACGTCCACGTCCACGTCCACGTCCACGTCCACGTCCACGTCCACGTCCACGTCCATGTCCATGTCCACGTCCATGTCCATGTCCATGTCCACGTCCATGTCCACGTCCACGTCCACGTCCACGTCCATGTCCACGTCCACGTCCACGTCCATGTCCACGTCCATGTCCACGTCCACGTCCATGTCCACGTCCATGTCCACGTCCACGTCCACGTCCATGTCCACGTCCACGTCCACGTCCACGTCCACGTCCACGTCCATGTCCACGTCCACGTCCACGTCCACGTCCACGTCCACGTCCACGTCCACGTCCACGTCCATGTCCACGTCCACGTCCACGTCCACGTCCACGTCCATGTCCACGTCCACGTCCATGTCCACGTCCACGTCCACGTCCATGTCCACGTCCACGTCCACGTCCACGTCCATGTCCACGTCCACGTCCACGTCCACGTCCACGTCCACGTCCACGTCCACGTCCATGTCCACGTCCACGTCCATGTCCACGTCCACGTCCATGTCCACGTCCACGTCCATGTCCACGTCCACGTCCATGTCCACGTCCACGTCCACGTCCACGTCCACGTCCACGTCCACGTCCACGTCCATGTCCACGTCCACGTCCACGTCCACGTCCACGTCCATGTCCATGTCCACGTCCACGTCCATGTCCACGTCCATGTCCACGTCCACGTCCAGTCCACGTCCATGTCCACGTCCACGTCCACGTCCACGTCCAGTCCACGTCCACGTCCACGTCCACGTCCACGTCCACGTCCACGTCCACGTCCACGTCCACGTCCATGTCCACGTCCACGTCCACGTCCACGTCCATGTCCACGTCCACGTCCACGTCCATGTCCACGTCCACGTCCACGTCCACGTCCACGTCCACGTCCATGTCCACGTCCACGTCCACGTCCACGTCCACGTCCACGTCCACGTCCACGTCCACGTCCACGTCCACGTCCATGTCCACGTCCACGTCCACGTCCATGTCCACGTCCACGTCCATTCCACGTCCACGTCCACGTCCACGTCCACGTCCACGTCCACGTCCACGTCACGTCCACGTCCACGTCCACGTCCACGTCCATGTCCACGTCCACGTCCACGTCCATGTCCACGTCCATGTCCACGTCCACGTCCACGTCCATGTCCACGTCCACGTCCACGTCCACGTCCACGTCCACGTCCACGTCCACGTCCACGTCCACGTCCACGTCCATGTCCACGTCCACGTCCATGTCCACGTCCACGTCCACGTCCATGTCCACGTCCACGTCCACGTCCACGTCCATGTCCACGTCCACGTCCACGTCCATGTCCACGTCCACGTCCATGTCCACGTCCACGTCCATGTCCACGTCCACGTCCACGTCCATGTCCACGTCCACGTCCACGTCCACGTCCACGTCCACGTCCATGTCCACGTCCACGTCCACGTCCACGTCCACGTCCACGTCCACGTCCACGTCCACGTCCATGTCCACGTCCACGTCCACGTCCACGTCCACGTCCATGTCCACGTCCACGTCCATGTCCACGTCCACGTCCACGTCCATGTCCACGTCCACGTCCACGTCCACGTCCATGTCCACGTCCACGTCCACGTCCACGTCCACGTCCACGTCCACGTCCACGTCCATGTCCACGTCCACGTCCATGTCCACGTCCACGTCCATGTCCACGTCCACGTCCATGTCCACGTCCACGTCCATGTCCACGTCCACGTCCACGTCCACGTCCACGTCCACGTCCACGTCCACGTCCACGTCCATGTCCACGTCCACGTCCACGTCCACGTCCACGTCCATGTCCATGTCCACGTCCACGTCCATGTCCACGTCCATGTCCACGTCCACGTCCAGTCCACGTCCATGTCCACGTCCACGTCCACGTCCACGTCCATGTCCATGTCCACGTCCATGTCCACGTCCACGTCCACGTCCACGTCCACGTCCACGTCCACGTCCATGTCCACGTCCACGTCCACGTCCATGTCCACGTCCACGTCCACGTCCATGTCCACGTCCACGTCCACGTCCACGTCCACGTCCACGTCCATGTCCACGTCCACGTCCACGTCCACGTCCACGTCCACGTCCACGTCCACGTCCACGTCCACGTCCACGTCCACGTCCATGTCCACGTCCACGTCCACGTCCATGTCCACGTCCACGTCCATGTCCACGTCCACGTCCACGTCCACGTCCACGTCCACGTCCACGTCCACGTCCACGTCCACGTCCACGTCCACGTCCACGTCCACGTCCACGTCCACGTCCATGTCCACGTCCACGTCCATGTCCACGTCCACGTCCACGTCCACGTCCACGTCCATGTCCACGTCCACGTCCACGTCCATGTCCACGTCCACGTCCATGTCCACGTCCACGTCCACGTCCACGTCCACGTCCACGTCCACGTCCACGTCACGTCCACGTCCACGTCCACGTCCACGTCCACGTCCACGTCCATGTCCATGTCCATGTCCACGTCCATGTCCACGTCCACGTCCACGTCCATGTCCACGTCCACGTCCACGTCCACGTCCACGTCCACGTCCACGTCCACGTCCACGTCCACGTCCACGTCCATGTCCATGTCCACGTCCATGTCCATGTCCATGTCCACGTCCATGTCCACGTCCACGTCCACGTCCACGTCCATGTCCACGTCCACGTCCACGTCCATGTCCACGTCCACGTCCATGTCCACGTCCACGTCCATGTCCACGTCCACGTCCACGTCCATGTCCACGTCCACGTCCACGTCCACGTCCACGTCCACGTCCATGTCCACGTCCACGTCCACGTCCACGTCCACGTCCACGTCCACGTCCACGTCCACGTCCATGTCCACGTCCACGTCCACGTCCACGTCCACGTCCATGTCCACGTCCACGTCCATGTCCACGTCCACGTCCACGTCCATGTCCACGTCCACGTCCACGTCCACGTCCATGTCCACGTCCACGTCCACGTCCACGTCCACGTCCACGTCCACGTCCACGTCCATGTCCACGTCCACGTCCATGTCCACGTCCACGTCCATGTCCACGTCCACGTCCATGTCCACGTCCACGTCCATGTCCACGTCCACGTCCACGTCCACGTCCACGTCCACGTCCACGTCCATGTCCACGTCCACGTCCACGTCCACGTCCACGTCCATGTCCATGTCCACGTCCACGTCCATGTCCACGTCCATGTCCACGTCCACGTCCACGTCCAGTCCACGTCCATGTCCACGTCCACGTCCACGTCCACGTCCATGTCCATGTCCACGTCCATGTCCACGTCCACGTCCACGTCCACGTCCACGTCCACGTCCATGTCCATGTCCACGTCCACGTCCACGTCCATTTCCACGTCCACGTCCACGTCCATGTCCACGTCCACGTCCACGTCCACGTCCACGTCCACGTCCATGTCCACGTCCACGTCCACGTCCACGTCCACGTCCACGTCCACGTCCACGTCCACGTCCACGTCCACGTCCACGTCCATGTCCACGTCCACGTCCACGTCCATGTCCACGTCCACGTCCATGTCCACGTCCACGTCCACGTCCACGTCCAGGTCCACGTCCACGTCCACGTCCACGTCCACGTCCACGTCCACGTCCACGTCCAGTCCACGTCCACGTCCATGTCCACGTCCACGTCCATGTCCACGTCCATGTCCACGTCCATGTCCACGTCCATGTCCACGTCCACGTCCACGTCCACGTCCACGTCCACGTCCACGTCCACGTCCACGTCCACGTCCATGTCCATGTCCACGTCCATGTCCATGTCCACGTCCATGTCCACGTCCATGTCCACGTCCACGTCCACGTCCACGTCCATGTCCACGTCCACGTCCACGTCCACGTCCATGTCCACGTCCACGTCCATGTCCACGTCCACGTCCATGTCCACGTCCACGTCCACGTCCACGTCCACGTCCATGTCCACGTCCATGTCCACGTCCACGTCCACGTCCACGTCCACGTCCACGTCCACGTCCACGTCCACGTCCACGTCCACGTCCACGTCCACGTCCATGTCCACGTCCACGTCCACGTCCATGTCCACGTCCACGTCCACGTCCACGTCCATGTCCACGTCCACGTCCATGTCCACGTCCACGTCCACGTCCACGTCCATGTCCACGTCCATGTCCACGTCCACGTCCACGTCCACGTCCACGTCCACGTCCACGTCCATGTCCACGTCCATGTCCACGTCCACGTCCATGTCCACGTCCACGTCCACGTCCACGTCCATGTCCACGTCCATGTCCACGTCCACGTCCACGTCCACGTCCACGTCCACGTCCACGTCCATGTCCACGTCCACGTCCACGTCCATGTCCACGTCCACGTCCACGTCCATGTCCACGTCCACGTCCATGTCCACGTCCACGTCCATGTCCACGTCCGTGTCCACGTCCACGTCCATGTCCACGTCCACGTCCACGTCCATGTCCACGTCCACGTCCACGTCCACGTCCACGTCCACGTCCACGTCCACGTCCACGTCCACGTCCACGTCCACGTCCACGTCCACGTCCATGTCCACGTCCACGTCCACGTCCACGTCCACGTCCATGTCCACGTCCACGTCCACGTCCATGTCCACGTCCACGTCCACGTCCACGTCCATGTCCACGTCCACGTCCACGTCCACGTCCACGTCCATGTCCACGTCCATGTCCACGTCCACGTCCACGTCCACGTCCACGTCCACGTCCACGTCCACGTCCATGTCCACGTCCACGTCCATGTCCACGTCCACGTCCATGTCCACGTCCATGTCCACGTCCATGTCCATGTCCACGTCCACGTCCACGTCCACGTCCACGTCCACGTCCACGTCCACGTCCATGTCCACGTCCATGTGTCCACGTCCATGTCCACGTCCACGTCCACGTCCATGTCCACGTCCACGTCCATGTCCACGTCCATGTCCACGTCCACGTCCATGTCCACGTCCACGTCCACGTCCATGTCCACGTCCACGTCCACGTCCACGTCCATGTCCACGTCCATGTCCACGTCCACGTCCACGTCCATGTCCACGTCCACGTCCACGTCCACGTCCATGTCCACGTCCACGTCCACGTCCACGTCCACGTCCATGTCCACGTCCACGTCCACGTCCATGTCCACGTCCACGTCCACGTCCACGTCCACGTCCATGTCCACGTCCACGTCCACGTCCAAGTCCACGTCCATGTCCACGTCCACGTCCACGTCCACGTCCACGTCCACGTCCACGTCCACGTCCACGTCCACGTCCACGTCCACGTCCACGTCCACGTCCATGTCCATGTCCACGTCCATGTCCACGTCCACGTCCACGTCCACGTCCACGTCCACGTCCACGTCCATGTCCACGTCCACGTCCACGTCCATTTCCACGTCCACGTCCATGTCCACGTCCACGTCCACGTCCACGTCCACGTCCATGTCCACGTCCATGTCCACGTCCACGTCCACGTCCACGTCCACGTCCATGTCCATGTCCACGTCCACGTCCATGTCCACGTCCATGTCCACGTCCACGTCCACGTCCATGTCCATGTCCACGTCCACGTCCACGTCCACGTCCATGTCCATGTCCACGTCCATGTCCACGTCCACGTCCACGTCCACGTCCACGTCCATGTCCATGTCCACGTCCACGTCCACGTCCATTTCCACGTCCACGTCCACGTCCATGTCCACGTCCACGTCCACGTCCACGTCCACGTCCATGTCCACGTCCACGTCCACGTCCACGTCCACGTCCACGTCCACGTCCACGTCCACGTCCACGTCCACGTCCACGTCCACGTCCATGTCCACGTCCACGTCCATGTCCACGTCCACGTCCACGTCCATTCCACGTCCACGTCCACGTCCACGTCCACGTCCATGTCCACGTCCACGTCCACGTCCACGTCCACGTCCACGTCCACGTCCACGTCCACGTCCACGTCCACGTCCACGTCCACGTCCACGTCCACGTCCACGTCCACGTCCATGTCCACGTCCACGTCCATGTCCACGTCCACGTCCATGTCCACGTCCACGTCCACGTCCACGTCCACGTCCACGTCCACGTCCATGTCCACGTCCATGTCCACGTCCACGTCCATGTCCACGTCCATGTCCATGTCCACGTCCACGTCCACGTCCACGTCCACGTCCACGTCCACGTCCACGTCCATGTCCACGTCCACGTCCACGTCCATGTCCACGTCCACGTCCACGTCCACGTCCACGTCCACGTCCACGTCCACGTCCACGTCCACGTCCATGTCCATGTCCACGTCCACGTCCACGTCCACGTCCACGTCCACGTCCACGTCCACGTCCACGTCCACGTCCACGTCCACGTCCACGTCCATGTCCACGTCCATGTCCACGTCCATGTCCACGTCCACGTCCATGTCCACGTCCACGTCCACGTCCACGTCCATGTCCACGTCCATGTCCACGTCCACGTCCACGTCCACGTCCACGTCCACGTCCACGTCCATGTCCACGTCCATGTCCACGTCCACGTCCATGTCCACGTCCACGTCCACGTCCACGTCCATGTCCACGTCCATGTCCACGTCCACGTCCACGTCCACGTCCACGTCCACGACGTCCATGTCCACGTCCACGTCCACGTCCACGTCCACGTCCACGTCCATGTCCACGTCCACGTCCACGTCCACGTCCACGTCCATGTCCACGTCCATGTCCATGTCCACGTCCATGTCCACGTCCACGTCCATGTCCATGTCCATGTCCATGTCCACGTCCATGTCCATGTCCATGTCCATGTCCACGTCCACGTCCATGTCCATGTCCACGTCCACGTCCATGTCCACGTCCACGTCCATGTCCACGTCCACGTCCATGTCCACGTCCGTGTCCACGTCCACGTCCACGTCCACGTCCACGTCCACGTCCACGTCCACGTCCACGTCCACGTCCACGTCCACGTCCACGTCCACGTCCACGTCCACGTCCACGTCCACGTCCACGTCCACGTCCACGTCCACGTCCACGTCCACGTCCACGTCCACGTCCATTTCCACGTCCACGTCCACGTCCACGTCCACGTCCACGTCCATGTCCACGTCCACGTCCACGTCCACGTCCACGTCCAAGTCCACGTCCATGTCCACGTCCATGTCCACGTCCACGTCCACGTCCACGTCCACGTCCACGTCCATGTCCACGTCCACGTCCACGTCCACGTCCACGTCCACGTCCACGTCCACGTCCATGTCCACGTCCACGTCCATGTCCACGTCCACGTCCATGTCCACGTCCACGTCCACGTCCACGTCCACGTCCACGTCCACGTCCATGTCCACGTCCATGTCCATGTCCACGTCCATGTCCACGTCCACGTCCACGTCCATGTCCACGTCCACGTCCACGTCCACGTCCACGTCCACGTCCACGTCCACGTCCACGTCCACGTCCACGTCCATGTCCACGTCCACGTCCACGTCCACGTCCACGTCCACGTCCACGTCCACGTCCACGTCCATGTCCACGTCCACGTCCACGTCCACGTCCACGTCCATGTCCACGTCCACGTCCACGTCCACGTCCACGTCCACGTCCACGTCCACGTCCACGTCCACGTCCACGTCCACGTCCACGTCCATGTCCACGTCCACGTCCACGTCCACGTCCACGTCCACGTCCACGTCCACGTCCACGTCCACGTCCACGTCCATGTCCACGTCCACGTCCATGTCCACGTCCACGTCCACGTCCACGTCCACGTCCACGTCCACGTCCACGTCCACGTCCACGTCCACGTCCACGTCCACGTCCACGTCCACGTCCACGTCCACGTCCACGTCCACGTCCGTGTCCACGTCCACGTCCACGTCCACGTCCGTGTCCACGTCCACGTCCATGTCCACGTCCACGTCCACGTCCATGTCCACGTCCACGTCCACGTCCACGTCCACGTCCACGTCCACGTCCACGTCCATGTCCACGTCCACGTCCATGTCCACGTCCACGTCCACGTCCACGTCCACGTCCACGTCCACGTCCACGTCCACGTCCACGTCCACGTCCACGTCCACGTCCACGTCCACGTCCACGTCCACGTCCATGTCCACGTCCACGTCCATGTCCACGTCCACGTCCACGTCATGTCCACGTCCACGTCCATGTCCACGTCCATGTCCACGTCCACGTCCACGTCCATGTCCACGTCCATGTCCACGTCCACGTCCACGTCCACGTCCACGTCCACGTCCACGTCCACGTCCACGTCCATTTCCACGTCCACGTCCACGTCCACGTCCATGTCCACGTCCACGTCCATGTCCACGTCCATGTCCACGTCCACGTCCACGTCCACGTCCACGTCCACGTCCACGTCCACGTCCACGTCCACGTCCACGTCCATGTCCATGTCCACGTCCATGTCCACGTCCACGTCCACGTCCACGTCCAAGTCCACGTCCATGTCCACGTCCATGTCCACGTCCACGTCCACGTCCACGTCCACGTCCACGTCCATGTCCACGTCCATGTCCACGTCCACGTCCACGTCCACGTCCACGTCCACGTCCACGTCCACGTCCATGTCCACGTCCACGTCCATGTCCACGTCCACGTCATGTCCACGTCCATGTCCACGTCCACGTCCATGTCCACGTCCACGTCCACGTCCATGTCCACGTCCATGTCCACGTCCACGTCCACGTCCACGTCCACGTCCACGTCCACGTCCATTTCCACGTCCACGTCCACGTCCATGTCCATGTCCACGTCACGTCCATGTCCACGTCCATGTCCACGTCCACGTCCACGTCCACGTCCACGTCCACGTCCACGTCCACGTCCACGTCCACGTCCACGTCCACGTCCATGTCCATGTCCACGTCCATGTCCATGTCCACGTCCATGTCCACGTCCATGTCCACGTCCACGTCCACGTCCACGTCCACGTCCATGTCCACGTCCACGTCCACGTCCACGTCCACGTCCACGTCCACGTCCACGTCCACGTCCATGTCCATGTCCACGTCCACGTCCACGTCCACGTCCACGTCCACGTCCAGTCCACGTCCATGTCCACGTCCACGTCCATGTCCACGTCCACGTCCACGTCCATGTCCATGTCCACGTCCACGTCCATGTCCACGTTCATGTCCACGTCCATGTCCACGTCCACGTCCACGTCCATGTCTACGTCCACGTCCACGTCCACGTCCATGTCCATGTCCACGTCCATGTCAACGTCCACGTCCACATCCACGTCCACGTCCACGTCCACGTCTACGTCCACGTCCATGTCCACGTCCACGTCCACGTCCATTTCTACGTCCACGTCCACGTCCACGTCCATGTCCACGTCCACGTCCACGTCCACGTCCACGTCCACGTCTACGTCCACGTCCATGTCCACGTCCATGTCCACGTCCATGTCCACGTCCACGTCCATGTCCACGTCCATGTCCACGTCCATGTCCACGTCCATGTCCATGTCCATGTCCACGTCCACGTCCACGTCCACGTCCACGTCCACGTCCACGTTCATGTCCATGTCCACGTCCACGTCCACGTCCATGTCCACGTCCACGTCCATGTCCACGTCCACGTCCACGTCCATGTCCACGTCCACGTCCATGTCCACGTCCACGTCCACGTCCACGTCCACGTCCACGTCCACGTCCATGTCCACGTCCACGTCCATGTCCACGTCCATGTCCACGTCCACGTCCACGTCCATGTCCACGTCCACGTCCACGTCCACGTCCATGTCCACGTCCACGTCCACGTCTACGTCCATGTCCACGTCCACGTCCACGTCCAAGTCCACGTCCATGTCCATGTCCACGTCCACGTCCACGTCCACGTCCACGTCCACGTCCATGTCCAGGTCCACGTCCACGTCCACGTCCACGTCCACGTCTACGTCCACGTCCACGTCCACGTCCACGTCCACGTCCACGTCCAGTCGCATGCTTGGGTCCGGACGCATGCTTGTGTCCGGACGCATGCTTGTGTACGGACGCATGCTTGTGTCCGGACGCATGCTTGTGTCCGGACGCATGCTTGTGTCCGGACGCATGCTTGTGTCCGGTCGCATGCTTGTGTCCGGACGCATGCTTGTGTCCGGACGCATGCTTGTGTCCGGACGCATGCTTGTGTCCGGACGCATGCTTGTGTCCGGTCGCATGCTTGTGTCCGGACGCATGCTTGTGTCCGGACGCATGCTTGTGTCCGGACGCATGCTTGTGTCCGGACGCATGCTTGAGTCCGGTCGCATGCTTGTGTCCGGACGCATGCTTGTGTCCGGATGCATGCTTGTGTACGGACGCATGCTTGTGTCCGGACGCATGCTTGTGTCCGGTCGCATGCTTGTGTCCGGACGCATGCTTGTGTCCCGACGCATGCTTGTGTCCGGACGCATGCTTGTGTCCGGACGCATGCTTGAGTCCGGTCGCATGCTTGTGTCCGGACGCATGCTTGTGTCCGGACGCATGCTTGTGTCCGGACGCATGCTTGTGTCCGGTCGCATGCTTGTGTCCGACCGCATGCTTGAGTCCGGTCGCATGCTTGTGTCTGGACGCATGCTTGTGTCCGGACGCATGCTTGTGTCCGGTCGCATGCTTGTGTCCGGACGCATGCTTGAGTCCGGTCGCATGCTTGTGTCCGGACGCATGCTTGTGTCCGGACGCATGCTTGTGTCCGGACGCATGCTTGAGTCCGGTCGCATGCTTGTGTCCGGACGCATGCTTGTGTCCGGACGCATGCTTGTGTCCGGACGCATGCTTGTGTCCGGACGCATGCTTGAGTCCGGTCGCATGCTTGTGTCCGGACGCATGCTTGTGTCCGGACGCATGCTTGTGTTTGGACGCATGCTTGTGCCCGGTCGCATGCTTGTGTCCGGACGCATGCTTGTGTCCGGACGCATGCTTGTGTCCGGACGCATGCTTGTGTCTGGACGCATGCTTGTGTCCGAGCGCATGCTTGTGTCCGGACGCATGCTTGTGTCCGGACGCATGCTTGTGTCCGGACGCATGCTTGTGTCCGGTCGCATGCTTGTGTCTGGACGCATGCTTGTGTACGGACGCATGCTTGTGCCCGGACGCATGCTTGAGTCCGGACGCATGCTTGTGTCCGGACGCATGCTTGTGTCCGGTCGCATGCTTGTGTCCGGACGCATGCTTGTGTCCGGACGCATGCTTGTGTCCGGGCGCATGCTTGTGTCCGGACGCATGCTTGTGTCCGGACGCATGCTTGTGTCCGGACGCATGCTTGAGTCCGGTCGCATGCTTGTGTCCGGACGCATGCTTGTGTCCGGACGCATGCTTGTGTCCGGACGCATGCTTGAGTCCGGTCGCATGCTTGTGTCCGGACGCATGCTTGTGCCGGACGCATGCTTGTGTCCGGACGCATGCTTGAGTCCGGTCGCATGCTTGAGTCCGGTCGCATGCTTGTGTTCGGACGCATGCTTGTGTACGGACGCATGCTTGTGTTCGGACGCATGCTTGTGTCCGGACGCATGCTTGTGTCCGGACGCATGCTTGTGTCCGGACGCATGCTTGTGTCCGGACGCATGCTTGTGTCCGACGCATGCTTGTGTCCGGACGCATGCTTGTGTCCGGACGCATGCTTGTGCCCGGTCGCATGCTTGTGTCCGGTCGCATGCTTGTGTCCGGACGCATGCTTGTGTTCGGACGCATGCTTGTGTCCGGACGCATGCTTGTGTCCGCATGCTTGTGTCTGACGCATGCTTGTGTCCGGACGCATGCTTGTGTCCGGACGCATGCTTGTGCCCGGTCGCATGCTTGTGTTCGGACGCATGCTTGTGTACGGACGCATGCTTGTGTTCGGACGCATGCTTGTGTCCGGACGCATGCTTGTGTCCGGACGCATGCTTGTGTCCGACGCATGCTTGTGTCCGGACGCATGCTTGTGTCCGGACGCATGCTTGTGCCCGGTCGCATGCTTGTGTCCGGTCGCATGCTTGTGTCCGGACGCATGCTTGTGTTCGGACGCATGCTTGTGTCCGGACGCATGCTTGTGTCCGCATGCTTGTGTCTGACGCATGCTTGTGTCCGGACGCATGCTTGTGTCCGGACGCATGCTTGTGCCCGGTCGCATGCTTGTGTTCGGACGCATGCTTGTGTACGGACGCATGCTTGTGTTCGGACGCATGCTTGTGTCCGGACGCATGCTTGTGTCCGGACGCATGCTTGTGTCCGACGCATGCTTGTGTCTGGACGCATGCTTGTGTCCGGACGCATGCTTGTGTCCGGACGCATGCTTGTGTCCGGACGCATGCTTGTGTCCGGTCGCATGCTTGTGTCTGGACGCATGCTTGTGTACGGACGCATGCTTGTGTCCGGACGCATGCTTGAGTCCGGACGCATGCTTGTGTCCGGACGCATGCTTGTGTCCGGTCGCATGCTTGTGTCCGGACGCATGCTTGTGTCCGGACGCATGCTTGTGTCCGGGCGCATGCTTGTGTCCGGACGCATGCTTGTGTCCGGACGCATGCTTGTGTCCGGACGCATGCTTGAGTCCGGTCGCATGCTTGTGTCCGGACGCATGCTTGTGTCCGGACGCATGCTTGTGTCCGGACGCATGCTTGAGTCCGGTCGCATGCTTGAGTCCGGTCGCATGCTTGTGTCCGGACGCATGCTTGTGTCCGGACGCATGCTTGTGTCCGGACGCATGCTTGAGTCCGGTCGCATGCTTGTGTCCGGACGCATGCTTGTGTCCGGACGCATGCTTGTGTCCGGACGCATGCTTGTGTCCGGACGCATGCTTGAGTCCGATCGCATGCTTGTGTCCGGACGCATGCTTGTGCCCGGACGCATGCTTGTGTCCGGACGCATGCTTGTGTTTGGACGCATGCTTGTGCCCGGTCGCATGCTTGTGTCCGGACGCATGCTTGTGTCCGGTCGCATGCTTGTGTCCGGACGCATGCTTGTGTCCGGACGCATGCTTGTGTCCGGGCGCATGCTTGTGTCCGGACGCATGCTTGTGTCCGGACGCATGCTTGTGTCCGGACGCATGCTTGAGTCCGGTCGCATGCTTGTGTCTGGACGCATGCTTGTGTCCGGACGCATGCTTGTGTACGGACGCATGCTTGTGTCCGGACGCATGCTTGTGTCCGGTCGCATGCTTGTGTCCGGACGCATGCTTGTGTCCGGACGCATGCTTGTGTCCGGTCGCATGCTTGTGTCCGGACGCATGCTTGAGTCCGGTCGCATGCTTGTGTCCGGACGCATGCTTGTGTCCGGACGCATGCTTGTGTCCGGACGCATGCTTGAGTCCGGTCGCATGCTTGTGTCCGGACGCATGCTTGTGTCCGGACGCATGCTTGTGTCCGGACGCATGCTTGTGTCCGGACGCATGCTTGAGTCCGGTCGCATGCTTGTGTCCGGACGCATGCTTGTGTCCGGACGCATGCTTGTGTCCGGACGCATGCTTGTGTTTGGACGCATGCTTGTGTCCGGTCGCATGCTTGTGTCCGGACGCATGCTTGTGTCCGGTCGCATGCTTGTGTCCGGACGCATGCTTGTGTCCGGACGCATGCTTGTGTCCGGGCGCATGCTTGTGTCCGGACGCATGCTTGTGTCCGGACGCATGCTTGTGTCCGGACGCATGCTTGAGTCCGGTCGCATGCTTGTGTCCGGACGCATGCTTGTGTCCGGACGCATGCTTGTGTACGGACGCATGCTTGTGTCCGGACGCATGCTTGTGTCCGAACGCATGCTTGTGTCCGGACGCATGCTTGTGTCCGGACGCATGCTTGTGTACGGACGCATGCTTGTGTCCGGACGCATGCTTGTGTCCGGACGCATGCTTGTGTCCGGACGCATGCTTGTGTCCGGACGCATGCTTGTGTACGGACGCATGCTTGTGTCCGGACGCATGCTTGTGTCCGGTCGCATGCTTGTGTCCGGACGCATGCTTGTGTCCCGACGCATGCTTGTGTCCGGACGCATGCTTGTGTCCGGACGCATGCTTGAGTCCGGTCGCATGCTTGTGTCCGGACGCATGCTTGTGTCCGGACGCATGCTTGTGTCCGGACGCATGCTTGTGTCCGGTCGCATGCTTGTGTCCGACCGCATGCTTGAGTCCGGTCGCATGCTTGTGTCCGGACGCATGCTTGTGTCCGGACGCATGCTTGTGTCCGGTCGCATGCTTGTGTCCGGACGCATGCTTGAGTCCGGTCGCATGCTTGTGTCCGGACGCATGCTTGTGTCCGGACGCATGCTTGTGTCCGGACGCATGCTTGAGTCCGGTCGCATGCTTGTGTCCGGACGCATGCTTGTGTCCGGACGCATGCTTGTGTCCGGACGCATGCTTGTGTCCGGACGCATGCTTGAGTCCGGTCGCATGCTTGTGTCCGGACGCATGCTTGTGCCGGACGCATGCTTGTGTCCGGACGCATGCTTGTGTTTGGACGCATGCTTGTGCCCGGTCGCATGCTTGTGTCCGGACGCATGCTTGTGTCCGGTCGCATGCTTGTGTCCGGACGCATGCTTGTGTCTGGACGCATGCTTGTGTCCGGGCGCATGCTTGTGTCCGGACGCATGCTTGTGTCCGGACGCATGCTTGTGTCCGGACGCATGCTTGTGTCCGGTCGCATGCTTGTGTCTGGACGCATGCTTGTGTACGGACGCATGCTTGTGTCCGGACGCATGCTTGAGTCCGGACGCATGCTTGTGTCCGGACGCATGCTTGTGTCCGGTCGCATGCTTGTGTCCGGACGCATGCTTGTGTCCGGACGCATGCTTGTGTCCGGGCGCATGCTTGTGTCCGGACGCATGCTTGTGTCCGGACGCATGCTTGTGTCCGGACGCATGCTTGTGTCCGGTCGCATGCTTGTGTCCGGACGCATGCTTGTGTCCGGACGCATGCTTGTGTCCGGACGCATGCTTGAGTCCGGTCGCATGCTTGTGTCCGGACGCATGCTTGTGCCCGGACGCATGCTTGTGTCCGGACGCATGCTTGAGTCCGGTCGCATGCTTGAGTCCGGTCGCATGCTTGTGTTCGGACGCATGCTTGTGTACGGACGCATGCTTGTGTTCGGACGCATGCTTGTGTCCGGACGCATGCTTGTGTCCGGACGCATGCTTGTGTCCGGACGCATGCTTGTGTCCGGACGCATGCTTGTGTCCGACGCATGCTTGTGTCCGGACGCATGCTTGTGTCCGGACGCATGCTTGTGTCCGGTCGCATGCTTGTGTCCGGTCGCATGCTTGTGTCCGGACGCATGCTTGTGTTCGGACGCATGCTTGTGTCCGGACGCATGCTTGTGTCCGACACATGCTTGTGTCTGACGCATGCTTGTGTCCGGAC